GTTCAATATCCGGGTTGGGTGGGTTGGTGGTTTCGGATTTTGATTTTTTTTTCAATATTCGTAGGTATCTACTAACATAACATAACATCACGCCTTTTGTCCCTGATGGGTAGGCAGAGGAACACATTACGGCACTTAATGCCACTGTGCAACACCTACTTTTCACTATTTATGTTATGAGTCCCACGTGATAGCGGGTGAGCCTATTGACATATACCAAGCACAATTCAAGACTCCGTGCTACTACTGAGAATTAATAAAAAATCAGTAATACTTTTCCCGACCCGGAAATACAACTTATAATAATAATAAATAAATGCGAAAGTCGCACTTGCGATTGCAACCACTCGGCCAGCAAGGCTATCTTTACTAATAACAATATTCAGTGTTTAGAGGACTATTCACTCACCAAGGAATCTAAATAATGAAATTCAGTTTTCAGTGGTATAAAGTTATGAAACAACAAATTAAAAGTTTCTACATGTCAGCATGACTAGACAAAATATGGATCTTGCGTTACTGTCTACTACCTACTAACATGTTAGTTTGATTTGCTTGCATTGTTTCTCCGAAACTACTTGACTGATTTGAATATATCTTTCAACACCGGAAAGTTAGCCTTTAAAGAAGTATCGTACATAGCACATAATAGGGTAGATGGCTAATTTTTATTTTAATGTCCGTCTGGTAGATTATTTTAAATCATTAGACACGTATATTTTTTTACAGAAACGAATTCTTTCAACGATATTATATTGTTTTGAAATGCCGCGTGACGTCACTTCTATGTACATTTTATACGTAGAAATGACGTTTTCGCCCCCACTCCTAAACTTTGATTCGTTTTATATAAGTATTGTTTTATTATACGACAAAATAAAAAATACGTATCTAATATTTTTTCATTAAGTACCTAATTATGGACTAATTAGATGTTTAATTTTCATACCCTGTGATCATCCCAATTGGCTATAGCTGCGGATGATCGAGCGGGTGACTGGGTCTCCAGTTCAAATCAGGAGAAGGAACGGTATGGTTTTTAGTCAGTAAGAGTCTGACACTCCCTCTAGGCTCACCCAAGGCGGGAGAAAGAAGCCATTGGATGATTTTCTCCCTTCAAACAAAGGCAGTAGTATAGGCTACTTCGGGAATTCCTGGTAGAAGTGCGAGTTAAGCTGGCAGTAGTTAGTTGTCAATAAAGCGACACATAACATCACGCCTTTTATTCCCGAAGGGGTAGGCAGAGGTGCACATTACGGCGCTTAATGCCACTGTACAATGTAACACCCACTTTTCTCTGTTTATGTTATGAGTCCCATGTAATGGGGGGTACTTTTCTCTATTGCCATATACCGGGCACATTTCCAGACTCCGTGCTACTACTGAGATTTTTAAAACTCAGTAATACTTTGCCCGACCCGGGAATCGAACCCGAGACCTTGCCCGGCAATCGCACTTGCGACCACTCGGCCAACGAGGCAGTCTATAGTTTATAGTAGCAGTATATTAAACAAATATAATATATTGCTACTATAAACAAGAAGTCAGATGTTTTAAAACTCTTTTTCCACGACCCTGTACATTTACAGATTATTATTTGACGTTACGAAACACAGTAACATCATCAGATTTTGGTAATCTTTCGCTGCGCCTGCGCAACTTTGTCTAACTATTTAAAGATTTGGCATTCACAGTATGATTCTTTCTTTATGAGGTAAATCTATGTACATTATGATGAATAATGTAAATAAAAATGAATTGCCGATATGTATGTATATATGAACGTAACTACGGAACGGCTGTAGCAAATTGGATAATTGATTTTTTGACATGTTCATTTTTGTAATGGAAGGAAATTTTGGAAAATTTACCAAAGAATTTGGCATAATTATTGTAAATGTGGTCATGTGAGTATAATCAGGTGTGTGTCATTATTAGTTATTAAGTATACATATTTATAATAATTATGTCTTTAATAATTAAACCAGACAATAAGAATTTTAGACTAAGACTGCAAATATGTAAACTTATTCTTTATATTAATAACTATTTTTTTATTTTAAATAGTTTTATCACATCTCAGGCATTAATTAATACTTACTTCATTTTTAATGCAGAAGATTTCGTAAGTTAATTTTCTGTTCTGGATATAATTTCGAATAGAAATTGTAAATATTTATTTATTTAATTTACAAATGGCTAATTTCATCTTACTTAACAAAATAATACTGTTGACTGCACGGTTGGTGCGGTGGCTGGACAACTGGCTGCCGCGAGAAAATCCTAGTGTGGGGCAACGTTCTTTAAAAAAAAATCCTGTTTAATACAATTCTAAAATATTTTACACATTTATTAAATGTGTACATACATAATAGGCTTATTATTGTAATAATAGAATGTTATATGAAATAACAATATAAGTAGGGAAGGGAAGCAGCCTCCTAGGACCGCTAAGGTGGCGGGACCTGCCGCAAACATAGCGGTAGGTCGAGGCCTGCCGGGTGTGGTGATTCCGTAAGGGCAACCCGGGTCACGGTCACAGGCAGTGAAGGAACACCGCGGTGGTTTTAGCCGGTATGAGTCCGGCACGCCCCCTCGTCGTCCCCACGGCGCGGGAAGTCCATGAGGATTTCCACCGCGATAAAAAAAAAAGTGTTATTAATAAAGAAGACGAATATATTTTTTTATGTCTACAACGTTGTTATTTTGAGTCAACTAATAACTTATTTATGATAATTTAATTAGGTATGTTAAGAAAATAAAAAAAAAACAAAATAGTAATAATAGGTACCTATGTTATTTTTTGCAAAACTCGAAAAGACATTTAGATGATTATTTTTTTGAGTTTAGAATTATCTGGAAAATCTTACGAAAGACCTGTTTTACTCGCGCGGTTTTACTCGTTCCAACTGATCGTAGCGTGATGTTTAATAGTAATTAATAGCCTACTAGCTGTGTATTATGCATAGATGAATAGTGGTTGACAGCTCCTCCCCCGTAGATGAAAGCGTGATAATATGTAGCCTATATGTTGAACCGACTTGCTAGTAATATTCATGCGCAATTTGAAGTAAATCCGTGCAATACTTTTTGAGTTCAACCTGGACATACATACAGACAAACAGATAAACAGATAAAAATACCAAAAACCATATTTTTGGCTTTGATATCGATTGCGGATCACGCCTCAACTATTCTTTTAAAATATTAATCAATGTACACTTGTTTTTCACTTTCCTTCACTTTTATTATTATGTATAGATATAGATAGACTCCTTCAATAAATTGACTATTCAAAATTAAACAAACTCGATTTAAACCAGTAGTTACGAAGATTAGCGCGTTCACACAAACAGACAAAGAAACTTATTTTTTTATAATATACTAGCTACTTCCGCGCAGTTTCACACGCTCTGCTCAGCTCGTATTGGTCGTACCATGATGTTTTATAGCCTATAACCATCCTCGATGAATGCGCTATCCAACACAAAAAGAATTATTCAAATCAGACTTGTAGTTACGGAGATTAGTGCTTTAAAACAAACAAACAAACAAAAAAGCAAACTCCGCTGTATATAATATTATCAATACATAGTATAAAACAAAGTCGCTTTCTCTGTATGTCCGTATGTATGCTTAGATCTTTAAAACTACGCAACGGATATTGATGCGGTTTTTTTTAATAGATAGAGTGATTCTGAAGGAAGGTTTATATGTATAATACATGCATATTGCACCCGTGCGAAGCCGGGGCGGGTCGCTAGTAAGATATAATCTTGATTTTAGACTTGACTTCTTCTTAATTCTAGACTCTAGAATTATGATCAAGCGAAACCAAGGGCAAGTTACAAGTATCAAAAAATCTATAGTGATGATACACTGTTAACAGAAGAGACAGTGACGTAACGAGCGGTTGCGTATGCGCAGCGGATTGCTATTGCTACCAAGGTCGATGACTTTCATAGGAGTAGGAGAAATAGAATACGTGGTCATGAACTTTGATATGATAATTAAGTGGAGCAGAATTGCAATTTATTGATGACATAGGTAATGGTGTGATTGTCGTCATCCGTCATCATTAATTGGGATGATGATAAGGTATGAAAATTATCTAATTAGTCCGTAAGGTAATGAAAAAATATTAGACACGTATTTTTTATTTTGTCGTATAATAAAATAATACTTAGATAAAACGAATCAAAGTTTAGGAGTGGGGGCTAAAATGTCATTTCTATATACCTATAAAATGTACATAGTGACGTCACGCGACATTTCAAATCAATATATCGTCGAAAGTATTCGTTTCTGCAAGAAAATAAAAATACGTGTCTAATGATTTAAAAGTACCAGACGGACATTAAAATAAAAATTAGGCATTTACCCTATTACCAATCTTTGAAAATCTTGTAATTCTTGTAAACAGATACTTAATTCTGCTGGCTTTTTTATGTACGTAAACGAGTAGACGGATCACCTGATGATAAGCAATCGGTGTCGCCCATGGACATCTGGAACACCAGAGGCGTTCCAAGTGTGCTACCTGCCTTTTGGGGATTGGGAATTTGAGGATTGTTACGGATTCAGGGATTGGGGAAAGGGGGACGGTAATTAGGCTTCCGGTAACCTTACTCCCACGAAGAATACAACGACACACGTCGGTTTTCTGTGAGGCTGTGGTATCACTCCGGTAGATGGCGCATGGCTCTCGCACACTTACAACACTTTATCTTGTAACACTTGTCACACTGCAAACCCCAACACAAGCGTGGTTCCACGCCGGTTTTTTATGAGGCCGTAGTATCAGTTCGGTACACCTGACCTTTTCATATCGAAGCATGGCTTTCCCACACTTATTATCTACTCATTCGTGCAATCATACGACAGACATATTTAAAATTTAAAAAAGGCGGAAATATTGAAAAAAGTCTTCCTTCCCTGATTGAACTACGAAATGATTTGGCATACCTAACTATAATTTTTGTTGTCTCTTTCTATTCCAGTGGTAACCGGTGCGACAGATGGTATCGGCAAGCAGTACGCGCTAGAGCTGGCTCGGCGAGGCATCAACATCGTCATCATCAGCCGGAACCCTGACAAGCTGAGGGCTGTGGCTTCTGAGATAGGTTGGTTTTGGAAACTCTGGACTGGAGTAATTTTTTATGGGTACTTTACAATTTCTTCGGGTATTGGAATGTTCATTTTCAACCAGTCTTTTTGTAATAGGAAACAGGCCTTTTGTTAAAATTGAGCTACCATTGTAAGTATTGTTGAAAAACTGCCTCGCCGAATATGACGATAGTTTTAATACATTCGAATCTAGCCGATGTTCATGAATAGGTATGTAGGTCTAGGTACTAGATAGGTACTCCCAAAAAGGATTAGATGCAATAATAACTTATCAATGATTGGTGTTAAACTAATTTGATTTCAAATAGCGTTAGAGAAATAAAAATAAACGGCGACAATGTATTGTGGCGAGATGATGTAAGCTTAAAGCAAGACATAATAATATTTTACTACCTACTTTGTAGACATAGCTAGATATTTCCTAGTAAGTCATATGAAGTATTATTGAACTTAAAGATGTTCTGTAAACACAACTATTATACTTTATAGCACAAATATTGACTGTTCACCATAGATTTATGTATATACGTCTATACAGACTATCTTGTTCAGGTTGCTACGCAAATATCGTCTATATTGTTTGTAATTTAAAGATCTACGCGGAAAACGATGGCTTAGATCATTAGATCAATATTTTGTCTACTTCGAATACATTAGCATTACAATTTACTAGTAATAGACATATTGATTTCAAATATTAGATACTATTGGACACACACTTCACTGTGAAATCTATTTCGTTTTCATTCCGAAGTCAAATCGTTTTGTGTTGATAACACATAGTTTTACAAAGAAATAAAATGCTTAAAACAAAAAATAATTGATGAACTATTGCAAAAAGCAAACTTCGAAACTACTATATACGAACTCATGGTACACCAAAACATCACGACATGTAATTCTCGAAGAGGTATTTCTCGTCTGGTGGCACGTGTTATGCGAATAGTGCCTACAAATTTACGTCTAGTGTTTCATAAGCGTATTTGCAAGAAGTTCGAATGAATATTTTTTTTTTAATCTTAAAATAGTAACATTTGTTTTTATTTCTACTTTATACATCGAAGTACTCCTTACGGCAAGTGTATAGATTCATAGTTAGTTTCATTCCGGGACTTGTAAAATGAATGATGAAAAGTGTGGTAGGTATTAAATGTATAAGTGTTTGTCCGCCTCTGTCAAGTTGGTATTTAGAATTTACCTCTTAGGAAATTGATAGGCGTGAATTTTACGTTATGTATTTTGGATAATAGTAAAGTTAGAGCAAAGTACCTACTGTAGCTGGAACGAGGTAAAAAACTTTATGTAGGTATATACTATTTTATTTTCTATGTTATTATATATGTTTGAACTAGAAGGTGTGGTGCCATAGGTCAAAATAATAATAGATAATGTCAGACAGACAACAAACATAGACTGTTTTTTTTTAAAGAATAAAGTAGGTAGGTACAGAAAATATCACTTGACTGGGTTTTTCGAAAACTTTTTGGAATATTTCTAGAATATAACTTTCATAATAATTATAGTTTTAGCACCGAGGTACGATTATTTGTTTAGCTTCGATTTATAAACCTTGTTAGTATATCCATCCGTAATAATGTGCTAAAAATTAGCTGCATGGCCATAATTCGAACCATTTTATCAAAATATTAGTTATACTTACTTCTTCAAAATATCTTGTTTGAAAAAATCTAAATAATTGTACTATTTACTTTAATTTTAGCACTAAAGCAAAAATAATAGCTTCTGCCAGCGGTTTCGTCCGCGGTCCCATAGAATTAAAAGTAGTCAATATGTTGTTTTTGTAATAACTACCGTGAGACATACTAAATTAACTAAAAATCGCACGTTAACTAAAAGAAACTCCTCTGTGGTTTGAAACTAGTAGAGCTTTTTTCAGTATATTCACGTTACCCGCGATTTTTAGTTAGTCTATTGGTTATTCCAGAACACACAAATCTACACATGTTCCAAATTTCACCCCGATCCCTTCAGCCTTTTAACGTGAAGGAGACAAACAAACAAACAAACAGACAAACATGAAAAATTTCGCATTTATAATATAAGTAGGATGTTTTTTTTAAGGGGGGAAAAACATCGAATGACTGCTCCGGCCAGGGTGAGGCGGGAGGGAGTGTCAGACTCTTACTGACTAAAAACCACCCCGTTCCTTCTCCTGTACATCGAGCCGGAGCCCCGGTAACCTGTTAGCTTCTCCGCGAAAATATTAGTAGGATAGATGGAAAAATGAGTGCGGAACTGCTACCAGTATACTAACCCTAAACAAATACGTGTGAATATTACAAAATCATGCATCACCAAGCTCCACATTGCGTTTGCAAGGTGACACAGTACTTCGTATTGTTAGAAATACAATTGTCATTGTCAGTTTCGTCTCTGCATTGTTTTGGATTATTGCGACATGAGATGATGTGTAGAAGTCATGACTGTCTCCTGACTGACTGACTGACGTTGATTGAATGGTGGCAGAGACATTGCAGCAAAAATCCTGAGAGACTTATTGTTAAGCAATGCCATGGTTGCAGTTGTAGGTTCGGTCGCCCTTTAGGACTTTTGGCTATTTTCATTTCATTAACTACCTTTAAATCATATCTTAACTAATGCCCGAATACTGAAACGTTACACAATTTTAAGTCACGCTTAAGTATAGTTCTGTCTCTACAAATTCTTTGTGAAATGACAGAGATGGCACGATATTTAAGCACGACTTAAAATTGAGTAACGTTTCAGTATTCCGGCATAAGAGTATCTTATCGTGAGGAAGCATTTAAACTAACCCCTTCATCTTCATCTTTAGGTGTCACTCGTAAGTCGTAGGTTGATAATATAATAATTAAAATACCTTTTTAATCGTCATCACTAATCCTAAGGGGTTCATTGAAACGTTGATGAAAACAATCTTTCTCCATGATTTTTTCTACTTGGTTGGATCAGAATTTGTCTCTAGCAGACTAAGTCCATAATCTGTATTCTCATCTTAATAATGCCGGAGAGATTATAGTGACATGTTTTAACCTATATAAATGTGTATTTCCAGAGAGGACGCACAATGTAAAAACTAAAGTAGTGGTGGCAGACTTCAGTAAGGGAGCTGAGGTGTACCCGTACATTGAGGAGCAGCTCAAGGACATACCTATTGGTATACTAGGTGAGCAGAAATATTATAAGGAACTAGTTACAATAGTTATGGTTGCAGTATTAAGCAACAATGAAATGTCGAGTGATGTTGTGAAGATATCTGGTGAGCATGTATGCCATGATGGCCCGGAGGTTTAAGGCCACTTCTCATGCATGACGGTGCGGGTTCAAAGCCTGACAAGTACGAATGTAACATTTTCCGAGTTCTATGTAGGTACATAAAACTCGGAAAATGTTACATTTCATGGTTCATCATTCATCAATGGTATCAAAGTGAATCAGTTCATTGTTCGAATGTTATGGATCCTAGCAACATCAACCCTTTCAGAGATTGGAACTTTTACAAATGTAACTACGAGCAACTGTACTTGTTATTATCAGAGACATCTTGGGATCCTGTTTTGCGGGCCGTTAGCGTTGCTGATGCGGTGAATGCCTTTTATCAGATTATCTACGATACTTTTGATACCTGCATGCCTAAGAAAAGTCGTTCAAGGAAGATAACTGAGCGGTACCCTGTATGGTTTACATCTGACATAATTAAAGATGTCAAACGTAAGCTCATATTGCACGCTACTTGGAAGCGCTCTAAATGCCTTGAAGACTATAAGCCTTTCTCAGATCTTCGGAGTACCTTAAAATATCGTGTTGCCAATGCATATCAAACGCATATTAAACGCGTAGAGAATAATATTAGAGTAAACCCGCGTGAATTCTGGCGACATATATCCAGTTTGAGATCTAAGGGAGGGTTTGAACCGTCGGTGAGCTACTGTGGCGATAGTTACAGCGGTACTGCAGCCGCGGAGGTTTTTGCCAAATTTTTTGCCAGTGTGTTTTTGCCAGATAAACCACTGTTAAATGTCACCAGCATTGGAAATTCAGACACTACCAAAAATAGCAATTACATAAACATCTTTCAGTTCTCATCCAAGGATGTTTTAGATGGGTTAAATAAACTTAAAGTCAGTAGTTCCGTGGGCCCGGATAGTATGCCACCCACTATTCTCAAGCATCTCAAGAATTCGTTCGTTTCTCCTTTATCCCACATATTTAATTTATCACTTAAGACTGGGTTTTATCCCCTCCAATGGAAAGTGTCGCGCGTGACGCCTATACCTAAAACGTCGAATAAGACGGCTGTAGAGGAATTCCGTCCTATTGCCGTCTTATCGTCACCTGCTAAAGTATTTGAAAATGTTCTCCATAAACTTATATATGAACAAGTCGAAAAACATCTTAACAACGCTCAACATGGTTTTAGATGTAAGAGATCCGTTGAATCTAACTTGTTGACTTTGACGGAATATATTTCATCACAGCTAGATAGACGTCATCAGGTTGATGTTCTATATTTCGACTTCCGAAAGGCATTTGACCGCGTCAACAATGATATCTTGCTCGCGAAACTTTATGCCATAGGTATTTGCCCTAACCTATTACGCTTACTGGCTGACTACCTTCGTGACCGTCAGCAGTATGTGAAATTAGGAATTTACGAGTCCAGCACTTACCACACTCGATCCGGCGTAAGTCAAGGCTCAATCCTTGGCCCCTTACTATTCCTTCTCATGATCAACGATCTCCCAGATGTTCCCCAACACGCAAAATGTCTTCTGTATGCTGATGATCTAAAACTCTACACTTGTGTCAACAGCATATCGGATTGTGAGGCTGTTCAGAGGGACATAGACCTGGTTTATGATTGGGGAGTTGCAAATAAAATGGATTTTAATCCTTCTAAGTGTTACGTCATGACTTTTGGTCGGGGACGGCACCCTATCACCTTTGATTATAAAATAAATGGTTCACCTATAACCAGATCATCAAGTATGAGGGACCTGGGTGTCGTCTTCGATCAGAAGTTGACATTTCACGATCATATCGCCACGGTTGCTAAGGAATCATTCAAAAGACTTGGATTCGTCTTAAGAAATTCAAAAGATTTCAAGAATGCACACGTGATAAGACTCTTATATAACACTCTTGTCAGGAGCAAGCTAGAGGCCAGCTCCTGCATTTGGAGTCCATACGAGGCATCTTATTCACTCCTACTTGAAAAAGTTCAAAAGAAATTCTTGAGGTTCCTCTACAAATTTTCTCTGGGTTACTATCCGTACATGTATCCAACAAAGTACCTTGCAGGATGTTTAGGATTTAATATGTTGGATACTAGAAGGGCATACAATCAACTTCACATCACACTCAAAATCTGCAGAGGGATCATAGATGCTCCTGATCTCCACAGTGAGCTGATTCGATTGTATGCCCCAAATAACTACATACGCGCCCGGAGGCACCGTCTACTATCCGTGCCTGCAAGTCGTACCGTGGCCCGGGCATCGTCCCCCATTCCTCGCATCCTGTCCGCGCTCAATAGCCTCGTGGAAGCCTACCCTGACTGTGACCTATTCATGGACGAGTTTAAAGCTATTAAAAAGGTTTGTCTCAGTTTTTGTGAAAGTCTCTGAAGTCTGTGTTGAAGTGTATAATTAAATGTTTTGTTTTCATTTTACTGTGTTATAGGTACAGTTTTTTTTTTTTTTTTGTCATCTACTATTGTAATTGTCTGATTTTCTTTATGTTTTTTAATTGAATTTTAATTGATTTTTTTTTTTTTACTGTGATGTTTGTTTATGTGTCTAATTTTTTTTTTTTGTTTTTTCTCTTCTTTTCTGTTATTGTAACTGTTTGTTTCTCTTTGATTTCTCTTTGTATGTGTGTTAATGTAATTGGTGTAAAGCCGTGTTAACATCACAATAATAAATAAATAAATAAATAAATAAATAAATAAAGTGATGTCTAAATAATCTTAGAAAGTAGAAAAAATCATCACTGACAAACGGTGAAGGAAAACATCGTGAGAAAATTAGACTTATGATTTCTAATTATAAGTTTGAAATCACTTTGAATTGAGCAAGCGTGGTGATTAACGTTCAAAACTTATCCTTGTGAGAAGAGGCCCTATACTGGTGAGGACTTTCAGGCTGTTGATGATGATAATTGCAGGATCGATGTGTATGTAAACAATTATAAAAGCTAGTAAATATAATAATATGTGAAGGGACTGACTGTGTGTGACTGTGGATCCAAGCTTCTTATCTTCTTAAATATTAATAAACGTCATTTAGAAGCAAGATGACTAAAACACAACTTATAAATTCCAGTCAACAATGTAGGCGTCAACTACGACTATCCGATGCCTCTATGTGAAGCATCTCCCACGAAGTTATGGGAGCTCATCAACGTGAATGTGGGTGGTGTGACTGCGATGTGCCGGGTGGTGCTGCCCGGCATGGTGCAGCGAGGTCGAGGTGCTGTTGTCAATGTGTCTTCAGGGTCTGAACTCCAGCCACTGCCGTTGATGACTGTTTATGCTGCTACCAAGGTAAAGTTCAGTTAAAGTTATTACGTTTTATGTTTGAGGATTTTGGCTGTCGAGCTGGTGGAATGTTCTGCTTTCTATCAAGGAAAGGGTCTCGGGTCTCAAGCAAAGCACCTTTGAATTATTTTAGGATTTCTAAAATTGAATGGTGCCTGGACATGACATATATATATAGCAATAATAATAATAGTTAAAAGTGATAATCTATTACTAAGAATTCCATATACCCTCACTGCGATTCAAACCTTATACAACTTACTAGATAATCACGCTTGCAACCGCTATACATTTTGGTTGGTCTTCTACATTCCTTGTATTTCAAAGTCTGTCTTCATGTTTATCGTCCAGGCCTACGTCCGAAGTTTCACATACGCAGTCCGTGAGGAGTATGCTCCAAAGGGTATCCACATCCAGCACCTGGCACCACTGTTCGTGTCCACCAAGATCAACGCCTTCTCCCAGCGGCTGATGGACGGCAATCTCCTCGTGCCTGATGCTGCTACCTACTCTAGATACGCCGTCTCCACTCTGGGAAGGCAGCACAACACTACCGGGTACTGGTTGCATGGAATACAGGTTCGTTATAAATTGTAACTGATTGAAATTATGGCCCATGTAAAGTTTTACAAAGATTTATCCACATGGCAAGGTTATGCTTTCGAAAAGCGATTTCCAATTCAGAGATAGAATTTAAGTTTTTCCAAGCCATTATTGGCGAGAGCCTTAACTTACCAATTATACCTAACAAAGAAGTGCTAACGTTAGAACTGGTTATGAATTAGCCTGGTTTGATTCCAATAGGCTAGTTAGGTAATTTTTGTTTAACAAGAAACAAATATATCTTCTAGTCTAACACATGTTTGTTTATTCCATGTTACAGTACTTCCTCATCAAAGTGATACCAGTTTGGTTGAGGACGAAGGTGGGCATGCAGATGAACATACAGTTTCGCCAAGAATACCTTCAGAACGCCAAGATTAAGGCCAACTGAGGAGCACGCCATAGTATGAATCAAGTCACTAGCAAAAATCTCTCGCTAGGAATATCGATGTTAGAAAATTAAATGTAAGGGTTTAATTAAATGAAGAAACTAACTTAACTAGAGTTCAAGAAAATAACTTAAAACCTTCAAGAAAAGAGCGTATTTCTTTTTAAAAGGCTGGTAACACATCTGTCTCCTCTGGTGTGGCGGGTGCCAATTGGCGGCGCTGATCGCTTACCATCAGGTGATCAACTTGCTCGTTTGCCTCCTATTCCATAAAAAAAAAACTAAAAATCGGTAATTACTCTCGTGCGTATAATGAGAAAAGCTCTACTAGTGTCGTCGACTGACTAACTAGTCTACTGACAGTAGGCTGCGCAACATCGCCGCGTCCGCGCACGCTGCTCATGAGCAAGAGCCCCTCTGTGGCTCGAAACTAGTAGAGCTTTTCTCAGTATATTCACGTGAGTAACTCGAGATGTTTAGTTGATGCAGAAACTGTTCCATAATAAACTTTCAAAGTGTATAAGAAATGTATATTCGTATTACAAATATTGTGAGACAGAATAATTCCTAAATATGTATATTAAAATAAGGACTACAGAGAAACAAGCTGTCGCAGCTAATTTCGTATCGCCTCTTTGAAAAATGGCATCAAATGTAATGAACAATATATTTTTTGTATTATAACTATTGTCAGACACAGTTATAACATTACTTAGGTTGTACAGATATTTACGTATCTCAAGCTTCACAGCTTGAGTTCGATTATCGCGCACAGCTCTTGAATACGGGCCCCTGACGTGGTTTTGTTTTGGGACTTTTATAGGTGATGTACTAACGAGTAACATAGGATACTTATATTTTGGAAAGCAGAAACAGAAAAAGTTAGGTCCTAAAATTCATATACCGTTACTAGGCGGACGAAGTCGCATAGTATATGATTTTATTTTTATTCTATTGTCTAAAACTGAGATAAATTGAATAAAAATAATGATTACCTATTTTTAAAATATAGTTTAAATATAGTACATGACAATTAATATTATGTACATCTGTCGAGTTATAGAAATAGCAACTTTGATTTTTGTGATATAGAGCATATTTTTCGTTAAAATTTTTTGTGAACTATTCAGCTCATTTTTTTACATATTGAAATCAAGTTTAAGTACATAGCAGTGAGGTTAATATTTGTTTACTGAACATTTATAATTTTTAATTTTGTTATGGACGAAATAACTTAAATGTTAGTTTGCACCTATGTGTATAAATAAATAGAATAATAAATGTGATATTGTTAAGTGAACTTTTGTAAATGTAAATAATTAAAATAAATATGTGTTAATACAAAATTAAGTTGTCTATTTTATTAATTTGGAATTAATTTTCATAATGAAGCTGTGGAAAGGAAATATTTGAAGCAAAGCGAGTGTTAATTCTTGCGCTCACAAAGTCGAAGACTCGAAGGTTTATAATCAAACGATTGAATTAAGTAGATATATAAGTAGTTTAATATGACATAAACATTTTATTAAATCTTTCCCCAACATTAAAAAAAGGTTTCAGAGAAAGTTATTATTTTACGGCTAATTTTAATAATGTATCTCAATGAAACTCTGCGGATAAAGATCGATTTTTGACATTTCTTTTTTTGTAAACAAATTAACAGACAGTAGGTAGTTTCAAATTCAAATCATTTATTGCAAACAGGTCAATGTAGAATAAAGTTTTTTTTTTAAACTTTGCCCCACACTAGGATATTCTCCTGTGTCGTGTTTTTGTGTAGTGTTTCTGGCAAAAATCTATGTGGTATAGAGATGCGTAACATAGTTATTCATATAATAACGTCCCGTCCTTACATCGATTTAATCCACAGATTTTGGATGGAGTAACGTCCTTGGATGGAGATCGGTTATTGAAATCAGCCGTTAACCCTGGGGTACCTTTAAGGGTAGTATAAACCTAGTAAAGGGTATATAAACCTCATTTGTTATTTAGAATGTAGAAGGACATTCTTCAACGTCAAGGCAAGAAGCAGAAAATAAAAAGTATATATGACATTTGACAGATTCTCATGTGGTCTGACATTCTCTATATAGAAAATAGAACCGGCAAATATGAAAAATGTGTAATGGATTGTGTAAACGACTGGGAAATACAAGTAGCAAACATTAATTAAAAGTAATCGGACTTGCCCAAGACCAACGACATGCAGGTTGGCTCTTTTGTCAAAATAATATTTTGTATTTCACTCTTAACTCGTCGAGTACCGTCATTATAGACACAATTATAGAACAATAGGTTGCGGTCACCGGTGACCGCTTGGTGTTTGACAGTTTAAGTACTATACTCGGAATTTTAATTCGATTCCAGATTTGACAATTTCAGTGTTGCAACGTTATGACAAGTACTAAATAGTGACGTTGCGAAATTATTCGATATGGAAATGCAAAATTTCTGGATCGATTTTTCTCGTTTATAATTTTAGTCTCGTAAACTAAATATATCAGGAAATTAAATATTTCCGAACCGATAATTTAGTTTTGACGATTAATTAACGATCTGAGACTTTTCTTTTATAACTATGTGAAATAAATGAAAAAATGTAATCATGAAGGAACATGACAAATAAAGCAAATAGATGTATTATGGTAATAAGTTATTTTATAAATTGTCGCCGTCATCGCTGTCGCTATCCTGTCACTTTCTGTAACATTTATTATAAAACACACACACTGATTGTTTATCGATTTTTGTGTGCATCACTACACTATTATATGTGGTATCATTATTTCACAAAATGACAGTAGCTATTGTCAAATCTGGAATCTAATTAAAATTCTGACTATAAGTTTATAGGTTCGTAACGCAATCACGTCGAAATGCCTAAACAGATTGGGATGAAATTTGGAACGAGGGTACACTATAATCTGGAATAACCCGTAGGCTACTTTTTATCCACGAAAACGCGAGCGACGCGACTGGCAGAAGATAATATAGTGAAATAGGAAAATAATATTTATGGTAGAAGCATTAATTCAAACTCTCCGACCCGATTTTAACGTGACTTTAAATCTGCATAAAGCTCTGCCATACAGTAAACCCCAACAAGACAGAAGGCGAGGAGGTATCGTGGTGCACACTTCTAAAGTCCGAACAACTCTTGCTAAGAGACAGTATGTGACGCAGGCATCTTATATCTACAATAAAATAAACGCAAAAATCAAAATTTATCCCAGACTTCTCAGTGAATGTAAGAGTTTATTAACGGAATGGTTAAAAACTTTGTCGTACGAAGACACTGAGAACATTTTGATTAGAATTCAATAACAAACATACAAACACCATACAAACAGATACATTCACACATACATACATACATTCATACATACATACATAAACTCACTCACTCACTCACTCACTCACTCACTCTCTTTCTCCCACACACACACGCACATCGATTCATACATCTACTCTCACAAAAAAAAAAAATACAAATCAATTGCTTTTAACATACCGTTCTACCATAGTTTTTTTTATATTTGTAACTTTTTTATTTTACTATATCTACTTTAATTTTTGTTGTTTTCTTTTAATTAGCAGATCTCGAGGTTATTATTCTTAAGAGTGTTAAATAAATAAAGAAAGGATCGAGTCAGTCCCAACACAAGTATTGTATAATAACTTACTGGGACTGCCTCAATGTGAGACAGATAGTGTAATTCTTAAGATAATAAAGAATTTTGAATTTGAATTTGATGTCAGTATCAGACGTCTTGTCTTAGTCTAACGTCTATAGTATCATCTATATTAAGTAAAATCGCGGGTTACTCTCGTTAATATACTGAGAAAAGCTCTACTAGTTTCGAACCACAGAGGGGTTCTTCCTCATGAGCAGAGTGCGCGGTCGCGGCGACGTCGCGCAGCTCACTGTCATCTATGTTATTCAGAAGCCTTTGCCAACGGCTTTGCCCGCGCTCTCGTCCGATAAAAAGTAGCCTATGTGTTCTCCCACAGTATAATCTGTTCCAAATTGAATCCCGAACCCTTCAGCCGTTTTGACGCGATTGAGTAATGAACATAAACACAAAACACAAACGTTCGCATTTATTCGCTTTAGCACTAGAAAATTTTTCCCCAGTTCTTTGGTAAAGCAATTTGTGTCAGTGACTATCCTTATTGATTTGTTAAGGGAAAATTCGTGAAGCAAAGTCAAAGCATGTATTTCAATTAAACCATAATTTGGTACTTTTGAAACGTCAACAAATACAAAATAAATAATAATCTGTCAGTCTGTCCATCAGTGAAGCTAGGTGAAGCTAGGTGCTCATTCCAAAATGTAGACTCGAATGGAGAAGAACGAGCAAGAAACTCCATTCGTTACTCTTTTTAAAAAGTATGGAAACTGGCTAGAAAGTGCAGCTTGATAGACAACTTAGATCTCTTCTGAATAACATTAATGAGTATCATCAGCCGGAAGACATTTTAGGAAACAGAGAGTATAGTTCCCAGTTCGGAAAAGGAGGATCCTCCGACCAGGCGAGGTGATCGTGCCTGACAGGCTTTCTGTCCAACAGTTGTTCGTTGGGATTTGCTATCCTTGTTAATTCGCATGTAAACTTTGCATGTGCGATGTAGGATTGTTGTGACGTATCCGTTGATTTGTTTTCATCTACGTGCGTGAGCTGTCATTTGACATGTAACATGCGCTACAACATCAACAGATGAAGTACGTTTTATTTAAAAAAATGTGCCATTTTGTGTGTCAGCACCTGTTGTGGAATTTAAGAAGAGCCCGCCAGGCTAGGAGCCGAGCGGCTGATGGAAGCAATAAGGCTGACGGACGAGCCACACGCACGGGCAGCGTGGACAGTCGGATGAGCAGCCGCAACAGCCGCAGCAGTCGCAGCAGTCACACCAGTCCGGGCAGTCGCGCCAAAGAGCTCGAGTTTCAATACTTCATACGACAAACTGAGGCAAATTACTCTTTTTTACCTTTTATTACAATGCAAAGAATCTCTACAAGAAGACCTTACAAAGAGTGTGTCATCCTTTTTTACTGTCCATAATAATTAACACATTAAACGTCATGGGGGTCACGGTGGCCGACGTTAGGATTTGCATTATGCAGTTTTCTATTGGCAGTCAAAGCCAAAATAAGGTAGAAAAATAGGTAGTGTGACTGTTAAGCAAGAGCCTTCGAATCCCAGGTCGAGCAGTGTTATTGAGGAGTCTAAGACTTACTAGAGAATTTCTCACTAATACCCAACGGTCCAACGTTCCGTCTAGTATGCAATGTACACTTCTACCTAAACCTGCAGGAAACAAATAATAACATTTTGAATAATTACCCAGAATATTGATTTTTACTGTACTTCTATATATTAACCGTTTTAGACCTTGTATCCTCCTTGGTGGACACATGATAGAGCTGTGGCATGGTTCCGGGACTTGCCCGATGACACTCTGTGGAACTGCTACATCTGTGCGTGTGTGTTGCTGGGGCTCGTGTGGACCGTCGCCCATCTGCACAATATCTACATCGACATCATCGACGTTATCTACAACGTCTCTTACGCCCTCCACATCTTCGCTATTGGCCACAAAATGGTTTCAGAATTTGAGAGCACGGATATCACTTTTTGGATAGTTCGTTAGTACTACTATAATAACGTGTATATTATTATTTGCAGTCAGTATTGTGTTTTGTTGACAAGTAGTGAAATTATTTGCCTAAATTAAAAAGTAATTTTTTATAGCCACTCGGGAGTCACAAGTGTTGTACTTCGTACAGCAGCTAGTATCGCATCTATTGCGGCCAGTAAATAAGTCTTTATACTAACTACCGTGAGACATACTAAATTAACTCAAAATCGCGGGTTATTCACGTGAAAATACTGAAAAAAAATCTACTAATTTCGATACACAGAGTGGTTCTTTCTCATGAGCAGCGTGCGCGGTCGCGGCGATGGCTATAGTAGGCTGCGCGACATCGCCGCAACTACGCACTATAATAGAGCTTTTTTATGTCTAGGTGCTTCATTATACCGTAGAATGCTCTATTTTCTTTTGTTCTCGCAAGATCTAACATAATTCTTATTACGTTTTATTTAACACAATTTTATATTTCAGTTGGATTTTTATTGGACATTGGCACGTTCGCACATTACGTCCAGACAAACAATCCAAGCTTCAAGCTCGGTGCCTATTACATACGACTGCATCGGCCTTATAAATATCTTGGTCAGTTCAATTCAGTATTCATCACCATCATTGTTATCATCATCATATCAGCCACTATCATATCAGCCACTAGACATCTGGGTCGTTGTTAAATTTAATCCGTATAACATTGCTGCTTCGACGCAGTGTAACTGATGAGCGGTTGTCGGATTGCCCATTTTAGCGTGGTTGTAGGTGTTTCCTATATGGATAATCTCTTCAGCCCACTTGGTGCCACTCTAGTGCAGCTGCGAGTAAGGAGTTGTATACTCCAGGGCAGAAAAAAGTAGAAAGAAAAAAAAAGAAAGGAAGGTAGAATCAAATAGACATTTATTTATTTATTCATCAGGTGTAGCTCATTATACGGACCTTGTGGAATCTAGAACGAATTTCCGTGCGTTTAGGCGTTTCTGCCATAATTATTATTGGAAGCAAGTATAGCAGCTTACACATAGGACCCACTTAGTTTTTAGTCAAATTTCCGTGGTGCTTGGTGACTGGGCTTCACCCAGTTGTACAGTCTCTTCTTTGTGCCTTTAGGCTTAATTCATTCTGTCTCCTGCAGTAATTCACCGAGGGAAGTGGAAACCATAGTTTTTTCTTCTTCTCCTCTTATAATATCTTCTGATTCACTTCGTTTCGGGAACCAAGACAGTTACTCATGTCCCTGTGACGCGCCGGAATTCAGTGTTTTCATGGTTGTATCTACTATAGATCCTGGCTTACAGGAGTTGCAGCGGTTTTGGGAGGTTGTTGCGGGCTTGTCCCATTAAAAAAAAGACATTTATTTGGCACCTAGCTTTTATACCTCTAAAATAAAAACATTATAAACTTTGCCTTAAAAGAATGGAACTGTGCTCACCGTTGGTATGTGTTACTCACAGTACATTGAAACTCTGGAGAATGAAAGGCTATATGTTATGATATGGAGAATGTTTTTATAAAAATTATGACGAAAATCAATTTCAGGGTCCCTGACTGATTACAACCTAAAGGGCAGCATATTAGGGACCACTTTGAAGTTCTGCTACATATTCATGGTGATGAGAATCACGTGGGCTTATATTTGGTTACACGTAGTGACGGTTAGTACCTTTATAGATTAAAGATACTGGGCGTATGTAGTCTAAGTCCAAGCGTCCACCGCCAAAGATTAAACAAATGAAAAGGGGAAAAGGAATTAATTAATGGTATCATCATAATCATTAGCCTGTTTTAATTCATTATTGAAATCAATTTTATCTGTGAATCACATTCAGAATTGTTACTTAAAACATTGCAACACTTGTGTTGCATAGTTGATTGTGGTACCTTACCAGGCGCGACTGTCTACACTACAACACAATACATAACATGACATCACGCCCTTTATCCCCGAACGGATAGGCAGAGGTGCACATTATGCCACTGTACAATGTAACACCCACATTTCACTATTTATGTTACGAGTCCCATGTAATAGGGGCCGAGCCTATTGTCATATACTGGGCACAATTCCAAACTCCGTGCTACTACTGAGAATTTTATAAAAAACCCAGTAATACTTTACTCGACCCGGGAATCGAACCCGAGACCCCTTGCCCGGCTGTCGTAGTTGCGACCACTCGGCCAACGAGGCAGTCTAACTACAACACATTTTTATTAATTTCCGACTTTTCAGATAAAGCCATCTTACTACATAACTCATTCGAATCAGAATGAAACGACAACTATTAGACCGCAGACTAAACCTGCAGGAGAGAAACTTATACAGATGAAAGATTACGACAACCCCGCGGCAGAGTTCCTCTCAGCCCTCTACATGATCAGCAAGATGTTTATACCTATCGGGTAACTTCTATAATAGCTTTACTTCACATCATGAAGCGGTATAGGCACATGTCATGTTCAATGTAACTTCTTTTTAATTCATCACTTGCCTATGTTACGAGTGAACGTTACAGGTATATACGCCTGGCCCGATTCCTAAAATCCGTTCCATTTTCCAAATCGACATGTTAAGGATTATTTCCGGTACTGAAATCGGTCAATAAAATATATGTGATGAACATTATAAAAAATATAGTTAGTTAGTAGTTAGGAGGAAAAATGGGGATGCCTGAAAAGTTTTCTGGGAGTTTTGAAAATTGGCAATTTTGTAGATTTTGATGTGCTTTTTTTCGATTTCCATTTTACACCCTTGTACGTGCGCCACTTGCACTGTGGATGGAAAAAATGGCGGCCTCAAACGGCTTGTTTGCAATATCTCTTTTTATGTGCATTTCAGGAGAAAAACGTTTATTACAAAATTAAACTACTCACAGTTATCTACAATTTATGTCTTGACAACTTTTTTGTAATATAAGTAGTTTAGCTCGACACTCCCGTAAAACATTTCAGGTAGAACTACAAAATGACTGAACTAATAGGTCTTTTTCTCTTTTAGTCCATCTTCTTACCCGGACAATGATATAGCGCGTATCTTCTGCATCATGATCATGATGTCAGGGTGCCTGGTGGTGACTGGAGCCGCTGTGGCTTCCCTGTCCCTCATCATCAGTTTGTACATGAGGCCTGAAGAAGCATTCCGGTCAAGATACAGACTCATCATGAAAGAAATGGTATGGATCTCAAAAATCATACTGGAAGGACGTGTAACATTGAATCATTATAAGTTTGATTCTTTATTTTGAGATAATCCACTTGTCCACAACTCACGAGACTTTGTGTTAAATTTCGACTGCCTCGTTGGCCGAGTGGTCGCAAGTGCGACTGCTGGGCAAGGTATCTCGGGTTCGATTCTCGGGTCGGGCAAACTATTACTGGATTTTTAAAAAAATCTCAGTAGTAGCACTGAGTCTGGAATTGTGCCCGATATATGGCAATAGGCACACCCCCAATTACATGGGACTCATAACATAAATAGTGAAAAGTGGGTGTTACATTGTACAGTGGCATAATGTACATACACCTCTGCCTTCAGAGATAAAAGGCGTGATGTAAAAATAAAAAAAAAATCGAATTGAGAACCTCCTTCTTTTTTGAAGTCGGTTAAAAATCTTTATTTTGAGGTAAACCACCTGTCTACGACACACGAGACTTTGAATTATATTCCGACTGATGCTGACATATAAACAAATTAATTATGTTTCTTATTCTCAAAGAGATCATTCCCGCTAAAAGTCTAATACATTATTTATTTGAGGTTCCATGTTCGGGTAATTACAAAAAAATATGTAAGTATTATAAATATATTTCCAGACGGATACGAAAGTTCCACCAGCTCTTCGAGACAAGGTGGAAACGTTTTACAAGATGTACTGGCACAAACAGCGTGCTGTCTCCAAGACTCAGCTGCTACCGACCTATCCACCAACCCTGCCCGCTACTATTAACCTTGACATCTATTTCGAAGCAACACAGAAGGTAGGTCCTCATCATCAATTTCCTCATCCACTAACACTTTTATTGTTTCTCCGATACGCTCGATATTGAACTTTTTGTATCTAATCCAACCGTTAACCACTTTTCGGATAATATTAACACGTCATCCCACCTTACTACAACGTCATACTGTCATTGCAAGCTAGCGTCTGCCAGCGGCTCTACCCGCGTTTCCGTGGGATAAAAAGTGGCTTAAGTGCTATTCCAGATCATAATCTACCTATGTTCCAAATTTCATCTCGATCCCTTCAGCCGTTTTGACGTGAAGACGTAACAAACATACAAACTTTCGCATTCATAATATTAGTGGATACAATTTTAATACCCTCACCGTTGTTTCTCGCCGTAGGCACGAATACTTCGAGACGTGTCACACCACATCCTCTCAGAGCTCGCCAAGAAGATGGACACCATCCACTACATCCCCGGAGACGCCATCATCAAGCGAGGATCTAAGAAGTGCAGGATTATCTACATCACTTATGGAGATGTTGAAGTAAATTATGACTTGTTCTGTATTCGTATACATTTTTTACACTTCAAAGGTTATTTTACCAGCATCAGGCAATTAATATAGTTTTCGCAAATTAAGTTATCTAAATCGAAACAATGGATTTTGAATTGAGATTTCTAGGACAATTCGATTTTATTCATTTTCATCAATTGAAGGAGGCCTATATTCAGTAGTGGATGCCTTGTAGCTAATATTATGATGTGTTTTGTACTTTCCTATGTGCAATTATGTTAAGTTTTACTCGATATTTGACGGTGTTTTATGGACTTGTGTTTTAGATGTTGACAGCGGAGGATGACACTACAGCAATACTGCGGATGACGCGCGGTACCGTGCTGACTCCGTGCGGCGGAGCGGCTGCAGAGGCCCTCACCAGCTCACATATTGCCGTGAGGGCCGCCACTTTCTGCACTGCGCACGTGTTGAAAGCTTCCGAGATGTGGAGGATAATCTATAAGCATTCCGTCTCTCAGGACCACGCAGGACCAATATTGGCTTCTTTTACAGTTGAGTATGTTTCTTATCGTGTTCGGGTTAAGGTGTATTTTTGTTAAGTAAAGTTTCAGGTTACAATTAGAAACTTACAATTCCAAAGTATCAATGTAATTATTTCAAAGTTTATCTTTTTCTATTCTGTCAGGTTTATTCAGATATCACATATAAGTATAAATACACCATTGTCTTTGTTCCCTAAATATGTTAAATTAGACGTGGTTGATTTTCGGTTTAATTTTTTTGTAGGATCACATTGAAAAGGTGAAAAGGCACTACTGCATGAAGGAACCAGTGGAAGCTATGTGAGTGGAACATTATTAATAATATATTTGGTGATACACTTTATACACTTGTCCTTTAAATTAGTAGCTGCTGTGTTTTAACTAAACTAGGTAGTTACTCGTTTGCAAAATTTCTTTCACTCTTCAAACATGGTTAATTTTTAAGGGATTGCGGTCACAGAGACATATATGTTCAAATAATAAAATTCAAGCGTGGGAGAACCATGCTTCGGCACGAATGGGCCGGCTCGACCGGAGTGATACCACGGCCTCACAGAAAACCGACGTGAAGCAACGCTTGCGTTGTGTTTTGTCGTGTGAGTGAGGTTACCGGAGGCCCAATTACCCTCCCCTTCCCCAATCTCCCCAATTCCTGAATCCCCAACGATCCTCAAACTCCTAATCCCCAAAAGGCTGGTAACGCACTTGTAACGCCTCTGGTGTTCCAGGTGTCCATGGGCGACGCCGATTGCTTACCATCAGGTGATCTGTCTGCTCGTTTACCGGCTTATGCCATAAAAAAAATCTAATTCACTCAATTTTAAGTTTTTTAAGTCACGTTTAAGTATAGTTCTGTCTCTATAAATTCTTTGTAAAATGACAGAGACATACAACTTAAAATTGAGTAGTGTTTCAGTATTCGGGCGATAGTTGTGGAAGTAATGTTATGGTATATTTGTCAGGCACAAGAGCAGTATCTTGCAGTTCAATCGCAATTTGATAGCGTTGAAGAGCATGAAGGATAGTCAAGGCGTTCCCTTGCTGGCCAGTCCTGACATCTTTCTGGAGATTGCTGGCTGCTATATCATAAGGAATGTTAGTGGATTAGTCATCATTATTTGGTTTCATTTAAATAGTTAACTATAGCAAGTAAGAACATTTCATTCATTAAAATAGGACTATTTGCCTTAGCGCCCGGATACCACACTGACCGACCAGTCTGATGAGATCTGCCTCCGACCTTCGTTCCCGTGCATCTTGCAGCCTCACTCTTCACTCCTAGTCGCCTGGAACGCATTCGTAGCTTTTCTCATACTGGTTATCTGTATCGTGAGTAATTGATGTATGTTATAACATGCACAAGGAAATATCTTTGTTGATTGTTGCTATTCTACCATATTTTATTCAAACTGTTTGCTGATCATGAGTGGAGATGTAGTTTATTGATTCAGAAAGGAAACAGTATATAAAACAGTACATAGACATTTCTTGTTATGTTTGTTTATTGTTTGCCAGGTTCATCCATACAATCTGATATTCAAGAAGGTTGTTACCATGGAGTTTAGGTTCTTCGACTTCGCTATGACCATCGTGTATGTGTTGGACCATATCGTTTACTTGTCTACAGGAGCAAACGTTGAGGAAGGTTAGTTCTCCGAAACTTTACTAGAGTATTAGCTCTGTGTCTAAGGCTATGTTCTGAATGTATATTTCTGTGTTACCAGGAGTGCCGATAACATTTGCACAGACATCTTCGAAACAGATGCGCAGCCACTGGTTCGTGCTGAACGTGGTGGCCACGCTGCCTATCTTCGAGTTCGTCGGTGATGGCCATTTTGCTGGCATCAATAAACTCCTCAGTGTGCCGAAGGTGACAAAACCATAAATCATTAAAATTTTGTAACAGAGGGCAAAAGTCATATGTCTTTTGAGTTTCAGTTTTTTAAATACTATTTACCCTGTTTCCAGCTGTTCCGTGAACTGAAGAGCTTGGAGGAAAGCTGTGGGTACCGCAGTAACGTGCTCCGTTTCTTGTCCTACACTCTGCTGCTACTCATCGCCTGCTACCTCATTGCCGCCATTCAACAAGGCTTCATGTGCTTCCAGTGAGTTCCTACAATCATTGAAGATTTCATCAGACTCAACCCTCATTTAGAGACATTTTTAATGTTCATTTTTGTATGTCTTAGGGCTGGTTACTGCTTAGTTACCAACTTCACTCATTCGCCTTTCTGGGAACAGAAACCTTTGGACGACGAAACGATAGCCGACAGATTAATATTCGGACTCTACTGGGCTATTTCTATGATTAACTTTATCAGTATGTTTCTTTTCATACTACTTTTTGATTTGTCATATTGCGCATATAACGTAAACCTTCTAAGGCTTTTCACATTTCAATTCAATTTAGATACCTATATCTTGATACTGAAATTTGAAGGACACATATAGACATGATCTATATGCCTTTGAGTATCATTATAGTATTTAAAATAATATAAACGAACTCATTTCTGATAGTCAGTCAGTTTGTATTCGATAGCTCCAAGATACTACCACATTTTCATTTCCTATAGTTACGCGTCTGTGACTGTAGTAGAATCATTATATCTCTCCTTTATTATTCAGACCACAGGCAGACATGGGCAGCGACTGAGTGGAAGCATGTGATCTATACCTTATTTATCCTAGAGATCTGCATCGTCCTGCGAATCTTCATGGAGGCAGTCTACTCTGCCACAATTATGGTCACTACGGCTCCTAGGTAGGTTTGTTGCTATAGTCATTGGAGATGTTCCATAGAAGGATCAATAATGAATTTTGTTCAGGATTATTTATATCCGACTGAAAATAAGTAGGGGGTTCTCTGTCTGTCCTATAAGTGTATTAGTTTGTCCGCGATTATCTCGCGATCGGCTGAACTGATTTTGATCTGGTTTTCAGAGAAATGTTTCTAATACTTAGCCCGTTCTTTTAGTATATTAACCAACTTCAGTAATAGGTATACTAAAGTCATAACCATCAGTTATAACTGATTAACGAATGAGTTATCTTGTCTTACTTAAATAAACGATTTATTTGAATAGGGAAGATTACGGTGCCCGCATAGAAATGGTGAAGAGTTTCCTTGTTAGAAATGAAGTGGACCCTCAACTGAGGAAGCGGTTCATCACTTATCTCGAACTGTGCTGGTATACCGACAAGGTACATTTATGTGTCTTAAACTGCATACTACATGCCTCCTGGATAAATAGGAAGAAGATGCCATTAAAAATAGGATAAGTACCATTGACACTAAATATTTTGTGTTTAATTTAAAATATCTTTTTTCGGTTCTTGTTACTGTCCAGTGAGATATAGATAAGTAATGCAGTGGATTAATTTTATATTTCATTCATCAGGCATACACAATGACTCATAAGAAGCGATCGAACATATTCTACGACCTACCACCGCATGTGTTCCAAGATATTGTGGGCAAGAACCGGATCAATTACATACACGTCATACCCTTCATGAAGGTTGGTATTCTTCATTTTTACGCACAATTCATGGGTATTTAGCAAAACCGTATTATCTCTATGGCAAACTAGGCACTGGCTTCTGCAATCTGTCGGCGTCGCGAGATGCGCTTGCCCAAAGAGTAACGGCAACGGAAAAAAAAATAATGGTGCCTATGAGGTGCTTACCTGGGGCACTATCTAGATTAATGCACCTCTGGTAATTGGGTAAAAATCTGGAACTCATTTTCTGAATGTCACGTTAAAATATGAAAAAGCTATTTTAAAACGAAAAAGATAAAGAAATAAATAACAATTGAAGACACTTACAGTTACATATTTTAGCGGTAAAGAACTTCACACAAAAAAGACGTATAATTCGTACACATCATTTAAGTAGGGTTGACAGATATGGAAGGATATGAAAGAGGTCTTTGTCCAGTTAAGTTAAGCATTGAAATTGACATCGCCAGTCCGTCTTGATTGAGCAAGCAAGAAGATTAATGCTCTTACAGTATTCGTGTAAGATGAGGCCATTTATATTTACAGATTGATGATAAATTTTTACATGGGTGTGTAATATAAAAATAGTTTCATTTATTAATAAAGGTAGTTTCTTGAATTTTATATTAATATCGATCTAGCATATTAATTTAAAACTTTAGACACGTATTTTTTCTTTTATCACAAAATTAAATAGCTTCGACGATACTACATATTATATTAATTTAAAATATCGTGTGACGTCACAGTGTGCCACATTTTGAAGCACTTTATGACGTAACAACCTCCCACTCCTAAACTTAGCGCCTTTTATCTAAGTATTGCAACTTAATACGGGAAAATAAAAAATACGTGTCTAATTTTTTTTCATTATCTAACTGACGGACTAATTATAATTTTAATCTTGATACCCTGGAAACTACTCAATTGTTATTATATCATCGTTACCTGGTTGTTCCAGTTGGTAAATAAGGAGGACTTGAAGGTAGTGATGGCATCAGTAAAGATGTTCTACACCTCACCCAACGAAATATTGATTAACACTGGAGAGCTCACCAATGAGATCTACATCATCAAACGTGGCATCTGTGAGGTCAGTTGTTGGAGTTATAAGCAAAAAGAAAATCGGATATATTGTTTATTATTCCCGAATCAAACTAGAATGCCTTGCTTTCACAATTAATTAAAGTTGTAAATATTTTTTATAATACTTTTGCAATTCAACGCTTGTAAAATTAGGTAAATTTGTTTAACCAAACTATATCATATCTACTGGTTTTTAAAATAACTGTCCTGAGACATCTAAAAAATAACGGTCTACTCATATAAATACACTGACTGGTAGGCTGTAAGACGTCGTCGCGACCGCGAACGCTGCTCTTGAGGAAGAGGTCCTTTGTGAGTCGAAACTAATAGAGATTTTCTCGATATGTTTACCATACATTATATTGAAACCGTTTTTTCAACAAATCCCCAAGATCGTGGACTACCATTATTGTTATTCTTTAAGGTTTTAGACCCGATTACGCAGAAGTGTGTGGGCCAGCTCGCCATGAAGACTCATTTTGGTTCCCTCATCTGTTTGTTGCGTAAGTTGAATTTTGTGTAGCATTTGAAAAAGACTTTGGTGATCACTGATTGGATTTTATGCGTTTGTAAATAATACGTTAAAAGTAATAGTTGTAGAATTTTCATCATGATAACGATAATAATATACGTTAAAAAATTACGCCTGTCCTGAGGCCTTAGTATGAGTTTCATTTACGTTTAAAGTATTCGAAACGAAAAACGCGTTCGGCACTCTGATTGGCCGGCGCCAATGAACCAACCAATCAGAGCGCCGAATGCGTACTCGTTACGATTACTTCAAACGTAAAACAAACTCGTACTAAGGCCTCTGGTGTACCTCAACACCTCAAACAGTTGACATGACATACATTCTTCCTGTTGATCATAAAGTACTCCAAGTCTCCGTCTATGATACTATATTTTACTACAAAAATGTTGTTTGTTCTGATAAATCTCATTACGTTTGCCCAGGCCTCCCCGCGTACTACACGATCCGAGCCGTGACTCACTTGCATGTGATGTGCATTCCCAGGAAAGTGTTGGGTAAAGTGCTTAGTACCCCACAGATAAACCAAGCCCTCGAGTATCTTAAAACAACCCCGGTAAGATTTAATATTCATAATTCGTAATATAATATTAGAAACTAGCGAACCGCCCCGGGTTCGCACGGGTGCTACATATATGTATTATAAATATGAACCTTCCTTAAGAATCACTCTATCTATTAAATAAACCTGTATCAAAATCCGTTACGTAGTTTTAAAGATCTAAGCATACATAGGGACAGACAGACTGTGAGTTTGTTTTATAACATGTAGTAAATTATTCATTGGCTATTCGTCATTGTATACCCCTCTTGTTTTAACCCCGAATAGAACCTTTAAGCGATTATATGAATGAAATTATACATCAGGCGGGCCAAGTCGAAGATCAATCAACAGTCGGAGCCTATTGGTTCCATTTCTATGAACTTTGACTTGGATAATAAAATAATTGAATTATCTTGTACCAAGGAGTTCCAAAGTCTGCAGACGCCTATTCCTTCATTCGTCAAGTATGTTCCACCTGCACCGACGGCGAACCTCATGTATTTCCGTCTACCCAGAAAGCACCAACCTGACACGGAATTCTTGGCACCTTTTAACAGACTCGGCTTCCTTTCGATCTTACGGTAAGTGGATTGGCATTAGTCCGAACATTTTGAATTAAGCAAAATAATAGTTTTTATTATAGAGGTAGTGTTTATTAATTTTAAGTGTGGGAGAGCCATGCTTCAGCACGAATGGGCCGGCTCGACCGGAGTGATACCACGGCCTCACAGAAAACCGACGTGAAGCAACGCCTGCGTTGTGTTACGTCGTGTGAGTGAGGTTACCGGAGGCCCAATTACCTTCCCCTTCCCCAATCTCCCCAATCCCTGAACCTGTATTCCAGGTGTCCATGGACGACGCCGATTGCTTACCATCAGGTGATCCGTCTGCTCGTTTACCGGCTTATGCCATAAAAAAAAGAGCTATACGGTCAATTTAGGCCCAGAAATTCACAGCTCATTGCACCTATAAGGGAAGCTTGAAATTAAAAACTTGTATACTGTCATCAGATGAACTGCAGTCTAGCAACGGTGCGCAGTTGAGATATCAACTTGACCCAATTAACTGTAGTTTTGTTTGTCAATTAAATGATAAATGGCATGCAGCTGTTGGTCATTTCAAATGCACGCAGTCAATGTGAGAGTGGCCTGGAAATATTTAACCTTTTTTTTTAAAAAAACGTTGTCACACACTAGGATTTTCTCCTGTGTCATGGGTGCGTTTACAAACATACAAGTTCACATACACATGACACCCAAACCCGGCACAACAATTTGTGGATCACACAAAGAGTTGTTCCGTGCGGGATTCGAACCCGCGACACGTTGCGCGGCAGGTGGTTGCCCTGCCACCGCACCAACCGTGCAGTCAACATTTATATTTTCTTTTTTTTTTAAGACAAAAAAAATATTCCATTTATTCGACCAAGGTCCTCACAATCTGTGATATTTAAGGGAAAGACGGGCTTTCTGAATTTTCAGATAAGATGGTCTAATGTTGGTGGTGTTGTCCAACAGTTACGTATTTCCTCGGTACACTATCAGGCCGGATGGCAAGTACCTGGTGCGCTACGAGTGGTTCCGCTTCTTCTGTGCGTTTCTATCAGCGCAACTGTTTCCCTCCTACACCTACCTGGTGCTGCAGTGGCCCTACCTCTACTACGTCACACAGTTCCTCGACTTGGCTGCTTATTACGACATGTATGTATTACTGTATCTGGAGGTAATCATAAATGAAGTCTAGTTGTAGCTGAAGTATGAGTGAACGGTATTTTTTTCATTTTGAAAATCGATAATCTTAAATATTGTCCAAAATTGTTTCACTTTGAAGAAGACTGCCATAAAAGCTTAAGACAAGTATTACATACATAACATCATGCCTTTTATCCCTGAAGGGGTAGGCAGAGGTGCACACAGAAATAACACCCACTTTATTTATGTTATGAGTCCCATGTAATAGGGGGTGAGTCTATTGCCATATACCGGGCACAATTCCAGACTCCATGCTACTACTGAGATTTTTTAAAACCCAGTAATAGTTTGCCCGACCCGGGAATCGAACCCAAGGCAGTCTTGCCCGGCAGTCGCACTTGCGACGACTCGGCTAACGAGGCAGCAGCTTAAGTATTTTTTAACTATTTCTGAACAAATCTTTCGTTACATTCAAATTGATTGAGTTCTCATCTGTGATTTAGCGATAGGTTTCGTTACATTCAAATTGATTGAGTTCTCATCTGTGATTTAGCGATTCATATTTTTTTTTGGTTTAAAAACATTAAACATATTTCATTTATGTACCTTCTAGTTTTCAACGCATGCTTATTGGCTACTTCAATGAGATTGGGATCCTGGTGTACCACCCAGCCAGCACCGCCTCTTACTACATGAAGGGCGGTTTCATTGTGGATCTATTCGGTTGCCTGCCTCTTGAGACCTTGGAGTCACCACGGAGGGAATTCCTTGGTAAACATTCAACACTTCTATATTAATTAGTTGATTAAAATCGTATTTTTTTCAAAAATAAATCGTTGCTCCTGGTCAAGCTTAGTTGTTGATTTCTTATTATAAGTAACTAGCAGAAGCTACTTACGCGCTTAGCGCTCGTTTTTTCCCGTTCCCGTTCCCGTTCGTGATTTATTTATTTATTTATTTAGAAAACCAACAGCGTTACATATAGTTTACAAAAGTTTGCGTGGCTTCCGTTATTTTCTAGATTTTGTAAATAAGCGAACGGACTTAATTAAATTAACAAAATAAGATCAATAACAAAAAAATAACAAAAAATGATTTACTTAATCAGTTAGTCAATTACAAAGACTTTAATTTTGAAATAATGATTCAAGATACGGAGTCGGTGTCCTGATTGCTTTTATTAATACATTTAATGATGTGTTCTTTAAATTTAGGTTTAGCACAACTGAATAGATCTATGATATTAGATAAAAATTAAAAAAAATATATAAAAAGCATCATATGTTCGTCTCCTGACTCTAAGCTACCTCCCCAGCAATTTTCATCCAAATCTATTTAGCCGTTCTTGAGTTATAAATAGTGTAACTAACACGATTTTCTTCTATATATATATATAGATAATTCTTTTATAAACTGCATTTAAAAAAACCGACTTCAATTTAAAGTAATAGTAGGTATACTAAAACCGACTCCCAAGTGTAATAAACAGTTTTCTGGTAACCGCATAAAAGTCGGTTCCGCCAATCCCGAGATAATCTCGCACAAACATAGATACATACAGGTCGAACTGAGAATCTCCCTCTTTTCTTTTTGAAATCGGTTAATTAAAAACTATCAAACTTCGTGTCTAAGATTTCACAACTATTGAACTTACTAACTTGAAATGAATTAGACTTAGGGACGATTTTTCAATGCTCAGTTAAATTTTATCAGAGGAATAACTTTGAATATTTGACAATTGTTCCATACTAAAAACTGTCAAATGTCAATTTTATTGTACAGATAAGAATTAACCAATTATTGTAAAATTGGCCCTTAGCGATCCAAATTATATGAATGATGGCTTTCATTAACATGAACAGGGAACAAGTTTCGCGTGACTCCGACGAAGCAGTTTCTAATGCTGAACCGACTGATCCAGTTGTATCGTATGCCAGGAGCTATGAAGGTACTCAAGGAGTACATTGGACGCCGGGACATTCTTATGATGTAAGGATATTAGATTATAGAGGCTTGTGGTGTAAGAATATTATACTTTAGAGGCCTAACATAATGCCAACCTCGTTGGTAATCATGATGTAGAGGTGATAGTAGATGTCGAGAAGTATCAGGCAGACAAGAGTAAAGGACTTATCTAGAAGGGGCTAATCATAGACTGAATATTGAATTTCTTTTCCAGTTTGCATCTGATACCAATATTCAGCGCCATACTGAATATTTTGACTTGTTTATTGATTTTCTACTCCGTCAAAATATTTTACAAGGAATACGACCGGGGCAAGTCGTACGAGTGGCTACTACTGCCATTTGAGGACCATGGAGGATCCTGGATTCATCTGTTCAAGGACAAATGTGAGTACACTGTCATCATCACTGTCATCCAGAAGTGCTGGAGATGTTGGGATTGCGTGTGCCAGACGGATACGTGGGGGCTCGTCGACGCCCCGCCTTGTTTAAGGTGCCAAGGGCTAGGACTAATCTTCTTAAATATGCTCCTATTTCCCGTGCTGTTCGGATTATAAATAGTGTACCGGAGCATGATTTGTTCCACAACCTACCAAGGTTTATTGAAGCAGTACAAAGGCATATTGAATATCACCGTATTGAGTAATTGGGTCTATATGGTTATAATATGTATGTCATACTGAGAGCATGTAACTCTTATAAGTCTAATAATTAAGGTGAAATTTTTATTAATTAAGTTACGTGTTAGACTTAAATGTCAAAGGAAATATGATATTGCATTGGAATAAACTGTAAGATGTCATATTGTAAGGTGTTGTAATAAATAAATAAATAAATAAATCATCCGAAAGATTCTTCGATCAACAATAACAACTAGATAAAGGGTTGCGTACAAAATCAAGCTCCAGTTCTGTCCGTGTGAATAATAATAGTAAAAAAATAACAAACAGAGAAAAATGTTTTAAAATAGTTTTAAGTTCAACCTAATAACAACCATGGCACCTAATAATAAAGTCATAAATCGTCAAAATATTATCTAATACTTACGACCATTCGTCACATAAGACAAGAAAAGTATTTTCTTACTCCTGTCATGTAGAAATTAAAAGACATAAGTTATACAATATCTAGTTTGAATTCAACCTTAAGGTCGAACAAATAAAGATAATTTTTCCATTATTGTCTTGCGATCTATATCGTTTCGTTTTGTTTCGTTTTGCTTCTTCAAATTTCGAATTTCGCTATAGGAGGTATGTATGGAGTCGCGTTGGACACTAAAATAATTTTATAATATGAAAATTAAGATTTCGGGATCTTAGCATACATCACTAATTTTTATTAGCGGTACGTTTTTGTGTATGATATGTTTATTTACTTTATCATTAAAAGTCTAAGTCAAAATCATTTATTTCAGTTAGAACAGGAAGGCACTTTTGAACGTCAACAATATAAATTTAAAAGTGAAGCTATTTGCTCATTCCAAGGTGTAGATTCCTATGGAGAAGAACGAGCAATAAACAATATAATTTTATTTTTCAATACAAATCGACTCCATGCATCCACTGTTCTGTTTAAACAAATGTTGGCGAGACTTGGCCAAGGAATCGCCAACACACGCACAAACATTGGTGGCGTTGGTTTATAATTGATAATTTTGTCTAATTTGATATTATTTACTAGTATAAAAGCTTAAAATATAACTTATACTTTATGTACTTATCAAAAGTAAGACACTCCGACCGTTATACTGCTTTTTCGGTTGTTATTTTTGCAACTTGCAATTACTCGTGACACGTGAGTACATTGGCCGTGTTTGGAGCATACTAAACAAAATAAGAGCTCACTTCTCAAGTGAGCTCTTATTTGTCGAGACGATTTTCTTGCGCCGACCCGATATCTAGTTGTTATACATACAACCGGAGAGGGACCTATGACTTGATGGCCGCAGTGTAGTTATCGAAACTTTAGTAGATGTCAAGGAATATAGATTTTCACCTTGTTCTATCTTTTTCTTTAGTTTTTTTTTTAAATGGCTCTGACTACAGTTCGCTTCAACCTGACTGAGACGCCATGGAACCTGCACCTAGGGACCTACTTCTGGGTGGTGTATGAATGTAGCACCACTGGTTATGGCATCTTCAACCCCAGTAACCATGCTATAATGCGGGTGCTGTTCATTGGAATGTTGTCCAGTAAGTCTCCTCATTTAATATATGTAATATCAGTCATTTGAACCATGCTTGAGCTTCTATTATTAAATATTCGTTTGTTATATTTCCAGGCGCAATGATAATAACGTACTACTCGGTCCGCATTATCAGCGTCCGAGCGAACGTCAACAAGTCGCTGGCCGGCTTCCAACAACATATGAAGGATATCAACGCTTACATGATTCGCGAGAAACTCGATTCCGAGCTACAGAAGTACCTATGTCAACTGTATTCATATTTATTCCATGCAATAACTATAAAAAATATAAATAAGTATCTAACTACATAATTCTATGTTTCTTGGTTTTTACATGGACCCTCCTCAGGTGAAGGCCTCCTCCAAAATTTTCCATTTGTCTCTATTATTTGTGACTTCTATCCATCTCCTCATAATTATTCAGTTTTTATTTTTTAATGGATCAAGGGTTTTGTTCTTGTATCGTGGTACTGTACTGTCAGAAGTTGTTCGATGTTTTTAGTTAGACTTTAAATTAATTACAATATATCTTTAACCAGAAAATTGTTAGTGGAATTTCTATTTCGGGGAAAAGACCGATCTAATATTAAGTATTGTGAGGTATTCAATTAACAATAAAAAGCCTCTACAATATAATAATAACCATGTACAAAACTGATTACCGTACTAGAAGTTTATTCTCACCAGAGAAGTGAGGCGTTACTACGAGTACAATTGGGAGAAGATGGGCGGCATTGACTATCGAGGAGTTTTGAAACTGTGCGACCAGATCACGCTGCGGACTGACGCTATCTTGCATATCTATGGACCTACTTTTGCAAAGGTACAATTAAAATTAGTCATCATTCTGTCTTTGCTTCTCCTCCTCTGCATCCTTATCATTATCATCATCATCATCATTATCTAAGAGACTACTGTTCAACATCCCCTCCATAGCTTGTCACAACAATTCTTCATTTTCCTTTCTGTTTTTCCCCCCAGTGTCCAATACTAGTAGATGCAGATGTATCATTACTCCGTATCCTGGGCCGGGCAGTTCGTAGCGTGTACTTCCTTCGTGACATGAAAATCCTGGAGATAGACGACATAACCACTGAACTGTACTTCGTGGACTATGGAGGAGTGGAGATCAGGGTCCCCATGGAAGACACGAATTCGATTTTGCGTTTACCAAGGGGCAGGTAACAAGACTCATTCATTACTGAATTCGAAAGTATTTTTATTTGTAAAGTTGTCATGAAAGTATTTGGTTTCTCACTTTGTCATCCTTAAACTGATTTTGTTGAATTTTGTTAATTTGGAGCCGTACTTTATTTACTTTTTCTACAACATTTTTCTTGTTTCCTTTCGGAATGGCTTACACAAATCATTAGAAAAACGAGAGCACTTACATTATTTTATTTATTGCAATACAAAAGACAAAACGTCTAGTTTTGCGTGTTGAATGTAAGATGTATTTTGCATAAATGTGAAATAGGTACAATGGTCTTTTACAGTGTATTTGGTAACTTGGCGAACATGCCCTGCCGCAGAAGTCCGTACAACGTGGTAGCGACCAGTCGACTACACCTGCTAATGATCAAGTCAGCTGCTTTCGCTAATATTACTAAAGACTTCCCCGATGTAAGGGAACTCATGGAAAAATCCAGGGTGGTAGAGAAACACAATAAAATTGAAAAGAGGGTACGTACGACACTACTTTTATAATACCGTGAAGTTATATCAAATTAATACTGCTTAAATCGAAGTTGTTAAGTCATTCTGGGGCCCAGAACTCGTAAGAAACGTGCGACAAAAGCCCCTCTTACACCACAGCGTGACTTAAAATTTTTATAATGTAATCCTTTATTAGTTTTATACAGAACTAGCTTCTGCCCGCGACTTCGTACGGGTAATCCCATTTTTCCCGTCCCCGTTCGTGATTATGGGTAAATATTAAAAAAAAATATTGGTTAAAAAGTATCCTATGGCGGTCTCCTAGCTCTAAGCTACCTCTCTACCAATTTTCAGCCAAATCTATTCTGCCGTTCTTGAGTTATAAGTGGTGTAACTAACACGACTTTCTTTTATATATAGATAGATGATACAATAAATAAACCCACCAAACAGCTATGACAGTTTGATGGCGGGAATAGCGCATTAGTAGAGCCTATCTCGAATTGTTTACGTAATATCAGTTGTAGAAGAATATTCTCAAACGAGACAGATACAAACCAATTTTATGACATTTTCTATGGACAGATGTACATCCTAGGCGGCGAGGCTACGATCAAAATGAAGCGACATTTGCAGTCGGATCCACCGCGGCGGACGAAGACCAGCTTCCTCAAGTACATCTACTTCCAAGAGGGCGCTGTACTGTTCTACTTAGTCTTCATCTGTATGGGCTGCATCTATTTGGACCTGTACAACGCTGGATATGAGGTCAGAATCAACACAATTTTAATTCATTCTTTAAAAATTACCTTTAAAAAACCATCTTCAACCCGATCGAAGTTCACGAGGTTTTGGAATATTCTTTTAGAAAGTAAGTTCTTTTACAAGTTATCCCTCTTCCAGGACAATAGTACCTGGATCCTAATTACTCTCTATTCCTTGGATTTCTGTTTCTGTTTGAAGATATTTACTCAACATGCAATCCCTTTTCTCGTGACCAACAAGAGTATGAAGAGAATAATGCTACCAATACGAAGACAGTAAGTTTGTATCCATTTTGTGTTCCATTTCACATGTAAATTGTGTCTAAGCATTATTTATATACGTACGGCGCGTCTCGTTCCGAGTGCGCCTCAAAGAGCCATCAGACCACCACAGATGGAGCCCAGAAGGGCTGATACGGAGCCTCGGTAGGCCTAATGGGTTGCCGGGGCTCCAGCTCGAAGTGCAGGAGTAACGGGGTGGTTTTTAGTCAGTAAGAGTCTGACACTCCCTCTCAAAAAAAACTACTTCTTTTTTTTATGGCATAAGCCGGTAAACGAGAAGACGGATCACCTGATGGTAAGCAATCGGCGTCGCCCATGGACACCAGAGCCACACCCGGAACACCAGAGGCGTTACAAGTGCGTCACCAGCTTTTTGGGGATTAGGAGTTTGAGAATCGTTGAGGATTCAGGGATTGGGGAGATTGGGGAAGGGGAAGGTAATTGGGCCTCCGGTAACCTCACTCACACGACGAAACACAATGCAAGCGTTGCTTCACGTCGGTTTTCTGTGAGGCCGTGGTATCACTCCGGTCAAGCCGGCCCATTCGTGCCGAAGCATGGCTCTCCCACTACGATACGATACGATACAGTTCTTTCCAGTTGAAAATGATGACAATGTATTAATTTCTATTTCACTCAACTTTACTCAGAAAAGATAACTTTTTAATTATTCTAAAAACGTATATTATTTTACAGGTACTTTAGAAGACAATTCAGATACGATTTGATATCAGTACTGCCTTTCGAGCTGTTTGTCTTCGCTGGGGGGCGGTTCGCACTATTACGCCTCAATAGAATGTTTAGAATTGTAAGGGACAATCTGTTTAAAGACATTTTAGTTCTTACTAGGCGTCATTTTTTTTGAGTGAGTGGTGGAGGTCTTCTGAGGCTATTCTGTAAGATGTCAATTAGAACTTTGGAGGTGAGCTCGATCGCATTCTCGCCCATCATTGATCCAGATTATTCTCAGAACCAATGACATGAGAACCCAGGATCAAGTTAACTTCGATCTTTCAAATTGAATGTAACAGAATAGCCTAAGTAAAGACTCAGTGCCGAGTGCTTAAAGTACTAAGAACAGGGTACTGAATGCGAATTATTTTAACATTAACGCGATCGCAACTTTGCCCCGTTTAGCCCTCTGATTGCTTGGTTTAATTGGAGCAGCCAATCACAGTGCCGAACGTTATAACTGGTTCACACTAGGCACTCTAAATGCTAAAAGTAAGTAGTCTAGTGAAACTCATAGTGACGTGAGAGCTTTCAATGCACAATTTTGTGTTAACTGTCTGCTTGAAAATCTCACCGGCATTATTCTCCAGGTAACAGTCTACAAATGCCTGAGCCGTCGCAAAGAAAGCATCACGGTCAACCTAACGCTGACCACGGTCATGGCAGTCTTCATTTGGTTCACACTGTTCGTCCACACCTCCACTTGTATCTGGTACTTCATGGCGGTTGTGGAAGACCAGCTTGAGCCAGGGACTTCCTGGATTCATCTAGGTAAGTGCTTTATGTAGCACTCGTCACTTTTGGCAGGGTTTTTTTCTCAACGGGAATAAGAAGGCCTAAACTGATTTGCGTCGCGAATGTATTCCAACAGTCAGTGTTCTTGCAACCGCTTTGTATTGGAAGAAAATTTGGATGGTGTTTGTTCAAGATTGTACAGAAAATGCAACTACATCCGTACTAGTTGAAAGAAGAGAAATTCCCTCATTTACTCTAAATGACGGAATAGAAAGTGAAAAATTTTACCTGCATTTATGCACTTACATATTTGAGTGAGTACACATCTCATGGCTACTTGACCAGGTCGGTGGAGGGTCTGTGTCGTTACAGGGTTGCAAGTCGGCAAAATGCCACCGGCCTCGAGCCGTGAAGGGCCCCAGTTCAGAGGTTCTCATCTGAACTATTCTTTTTTATATTCGGAAGAGGGACTCATCCAATGAATCGAATATGCAAGTGAGTTACGCATTGTGGAGAGTTCATTAATATTATTATTCTTAAAAAATAAACAAGCCTCTCAATTATCACCTTTCATCATAATTACTCGTTTGTCAGATGACGGCACCACTCATTGTGACAACCACTACATCTGTTCTCTATACTTCGTGCTTACGACATTCACACAAAACGGTGTCGGTGACATCATGCCCAAGAAACGTTCGGAGGTCTGTATAAAGTTATATTTATATTAGTTACTTGGCCGGGAAATGTTCAGTTTTCTGCTTCCATTGGTGAGGTGAAGAGATCTGATTCGCTGGCAGACAAAGAGGTAGCTTCTAACTTCGCAGACATTTTATGAAGCAACTGGGTTATTTTGTAACTGTCAATTCGAACTTTCGAACTGAGCTCGATCGCATTCTCGTCCGTCATTGGTCGAGATTGTCCCCACAACCAATAATATGGCGGACCGCGATCGAGTCCAAGTCGATCTTTCCGAATTGAAAGTTAGAGAACAGCCGAGCTGGATTCCAACCGATAGATGCTAGCTAATCCTTAATATATAAGACCTAAAAACTAATAAAAACATAGGCAGTATTAAAAGAGGAACTTCTTCACAATATTCGACATGGAATTAAAGTAAAATAAAATTTATGAAAAAATTATTAGTGCTATATGTCCAATTGTCCAGGTGGTGTTCGTGGCAATAATTCAGATTCTATCGACGATGGTGTTCATGATATACGTTGGGGAGTTGTCAAACATTATCCAGTTCCAGTCCTATCGTTCGTTCAACTTCTACAGCAAATACTTAGAATTGCAGGTAAATACCAGCTTGGCCACAAAGATTTTGACGCAGTGACAGCTGAAACTCATATTGACTTGAACTGAATCACCCACTTCGGACCATGTACCATGAATAAACCAATCATTCGAATATAGTACCTTCTCTTTTTAAATTCGATCACACACGGCTACACATCGACCTTTACATAACCAGTATAAACTGAACGTTAAATATGCGGAAAGATGATGCGACGCGACACCAGCATTTAAACTGGTTTTGTATAGATTGATGTGTGGTTGTGTGTACCTACCAGGTTACCATAGGTACGATACTAGCGACCTCAATTATTACAAACTCTTTTTTGCTAAGCTGTTTTCACTTAAATCCTCAATAAGCTGAACACTTCTAATTCCTTCCAGTTATTCATCTCTTTCTCTACAGAAATTTTTGAAAAACAACAGGGTATCTAAGAATCTTGTGACCATTGTAAATAAGTATACCCTCCACTTATGGCGAGAGAACAGAGGGCTACAGATACCTCACTTCTTGAAACAAGCACCTATCTCTCTCCGTTTGAGGGTCATGTCAGCCGCTTACCTGCATCACATCACCCGGGTAAATAAATAAGTCGATTAACTGTCTTTAGATTACATTTTGTAATTATTTTAGACTACTATTTACTATGTTTTCGAATGATTACTGAAACAGTTTTAAGATTTATATGATGAATGATTCGGTAGTTTACTGAATCCAAAAAACCAAATGTCCTTTAGAACAATGAATGATATTGTACTCGTGATTTCAGCATCATATCTTTGAAGAATGTGAGCCTGCTTTTCTCAGACAAATGGTGGGATGTTTGAAGCTGTATACATATAACGAAGGTACTTTAAGTATCAACTAGTAAGAAAAATCTATAGGAGGAACAGTATTATTGTGATTTAGTTGATCTGACATAGGTAAATATAAGAATGGTGATAGTTTAAGTTAACATGCTTTTTTTTGAAGGGATGTACGTCGTGAAAGAAAGTGAAATCACAGATGCAATGTACGTGATACACACTGGTAAGGTGAAGGAGACTTGTGAGGATGTTATGGAGGTCAGTGCCAGGGTCTACCCTGCAGGCTCCTACTTCGGAGTTGTAAGTAATATACCACTACAATATTTCAGGAAACATGCTTCTCATTTCTCTAACCGAAGTTGTATTAAATTAGTTGCAGGGATTATTCCGAAATACTCCGTACACTCACTCGTATGAAACGGTGACCAAGTCTCAAGTACTCACTCTGAAACTTGACGACTGGGAGTACCTTTTGAAACATTTTCCAGACAGCAAAAACTCTATACATAAACATATGAAACAATTAGGAGACGACGAAACAGATTACAGTAACTGGCCTGGAGGTCCAATAACAGATGCAGGTCCTAAGTATGAAATGGACGAAATGCAACAAGATACCCTAGACAAGTCGCAGTTTCCTGATATACAAAGACATTTCGGTAAATATTCTGCCACAGATGTAAGAAAAGAAGCACCACTTAGCCATTCAACAGCAGAAAGAAGACACTCAAGATATTTTGCTTGGCCGTCTGATAATAGGGAACCTGACGCAATATCTATGGCTCAAAATATTGAAGAAGAAAATCAAGCCGGACCGCCTGAAAATCAACTTAACAAAGATCCAAGAGCAAATCTTAAATCAATACTGAGAAAAGTGGCTGGCACTGCCAAAAAATTAATGGGTAGAGTTTCAGATCCCGAATTGACAGCAGCTGGTGATGAACTTTTACTAGAAGAAGATGCTGAAGCGACTGAGGCATTGCTCAAACAATTTGAAAAAGCTAAAAAACAGGAAAAGGACGAAATTAAAAGACAAAGAACTCGCAGACAGAGTCTGTTCTTCCATGCACCAGACGAAACGACAGAAAAACATTTAGTAACTTTAGATATGGGATCAATGCAAAAATTAGATCAAAGTGAATCTGACCATTTGCCGGTAAAACCACTTACTACTATAGAAAATTCTAACGCTCTTAGACTAGGTAAAGAAAAGTCTAAAGTCGTTGATACTGTCTCAAAAGTTGAACTCACAATAGACATAGAAGGTGCCTTAGCTGAAAATGAGACAAAAGAAAAAATAATATCTCCATCTCAAGGCGCAGGACCATCGCAAAGCATACGAGAATTTTCACGTATACAAGCTACTCAAGGCACACCCTATATTAGTCGAGCAACCACAAGTAAGCAACCTACTCAAGACAAAATGACCCCTACCAGTCAAATTCCGAAAGACCCTCCGTCTGCACGTAAACTTAATGTACCTACTACACTTTCTTATTCTGAACAAAGATCTGACCAAAAGACAATACAACCAGATAAAGAAAAAGCTCTCGATAGTTTGGCTATCCAAGATAAAACAAAGTCAATTGTACCTATGGCTGACACTTCACCTCCTATAAGTTCAAAAGCGCCTCTTGGAGATGCTGCTAGAGAGGAACAATTACGTGGAACATCAAAGTCGAAAGATATTATTCTAAAATCTGAGACAGGTCCTACTCCTAGATTTATAGCACTGAAAGAACCTTCTAAATCAGACGAGTCTCGCTTGGAACGTAGTACTAAGTCTAAAATTATACCTGTAATCATGTCTAGTTCACCTGCCCCAGATAGTACTAATGTTCACCGACGAGAAGAGGAAGTCCCAAATATTGTAGCAGACACTGATAGTACACGACTCATCAGCGAGGCTTTGGTTAATCAACATGATACAAAAAACCAACCAGCTGGTGAAGCCATATCTTCTAAACTTGATATGCCTCAAAAACTTTCTCCCAAAGTTCAATCTGAAAGAGACCGAATTGTTGAACAAAATGCTCAAACTACCTCAAGGATTGATACTCCTCAACCTGGATTTGGACGTAGGAGCTCTCAGCCGACCGATGAAATTAAAAATATACTAACGCCATATCGAGCATCAGATGTGGTTTCTGGTCCCTCCAGGTCAAGAATTTCTGCATCCCAAAATCTTAATACAGAAACAAAAGATGAAGATGAAGATATTCAATCTGTTACAGATACGCAAGAAATAAAATTAACGTCTTCTGCAGGTTTGTCGGCATCATATATAGAGGTAAAATCGAAGCCAGTAACTTCCACAGAAACAGTACTGGAAGATAATCAAGTTTCTCGGAGCTCTAAGTCTGCTGGGACCACTAGTACTGCGCCCATTCTAGCTACAGCTACAACTGAACCTGATACATCCAAGCCATACATACCGATCACACTTTCTTATCTACAACCCAATATTAAGCAAGACATTCAACGCTCAGGTCAAAATGCTCAGCCAGTCAAGGACATTACAAATATTTTTGCAAGTAAGCCTTCAGAAACTCAAACATTACGTGAATCTAAAGCTGATACTGTAGAGGTAGATTCAGAAATTGCCGAGACTAGGCCAGACGAAGATGAAGCCTCTCTAATATCACGGGTAACATCTGAGGAACAATCTATTAAAACAGTGGACCTAACCAAGCCTTCAACTGTCACAGTATATGAGCCAGCACTTACACCTGCGCCTTCCACGGCTATAGAAAGCAGGACAGAAGAGTCATCTACAGCAAGAGCAACACGAAAATCATTTAAGAAAAGACAAATCATTTACGACCCCAACCGAACACACTATGACGACGACGACAACGATGGGACAACATCTCAAGGTAAATTAGTTTATTTTTAGTTATTTGTTTAACATCATTTGTTGATTTTTTAGCTTTTGTACTACTTCATTTCACTTTACATCATTAGATGCGCGGCGTATTTTAATAACATGGTGCTATTAAAAATATGTGTACCTTTGTATAGCTACGTTGTCTATCTACGCTTGATTCTGGTCACATCAGTCACCGATATATTTGTATCACTAGAGATCGTAGTGTTGATTTTAGCATAAGCCGGTGAAGGAGCAGACGGATCACCTGATGATAAGCAATCGGTGTCGCCCTTGGACACCTGGAACACCGTTACAAGTGCGTTACCGGCGTTACCGGCCTTACGAGGTATTGGGGAAGGGGGTAATTGGGCCTCCGGTAACCTCATCACACGACGAAACACAACGCAAGCGTTGTTTCACGTCGGTCTTCTGTGAGGCCGTGGTATCACTCCGGTCGAGCCGGTCAATTCGTACCGAAGCATGGCTCTCCCACACTTAAATGAACGCGATGTTAAATGCTTAATCGATGAAAATGGTACACGTTTTCATCGATTAAGAATCTTGGGGTCGATCTCAATGGCTCAGTGTGCTCTCCCACACCTTACACTTATTAGACCACATGAAAATATTTGCTCTGTTACTTTGACAGAATTGGATATTCAACCTTATGTTTTTGTAATTTAAATTATATTTTCATACTAAATGTGTGTTTCAGCCCCGACAAGTACTGCGCCTTCGCTACATAAGGAAGAAAGCACTAACACTAAGAGTAATAGACGCTTGATTCGCGTGCGGTATGATGAGAAAAAAGATGATGATGAGGAGGATGGGAGTGATACTGACGAACTTGAAGATGAGAAACCTTCGAAGAAAGATAAGACTAGGACGGCAGGCAGTAATCGGCCTAAACGAGAGGATGAAGGAGCTACATCTACATCTACCTCAAAATCTGGAAGCCCCAACAAGGAAACTAAAAAATAACCTTAATGCAGTAAACGTCTTTAGGATTATGATAATAAAAAATCACTGGTTAGGCTCACAACCAGAAAAACATACCTGATAGATTATTTCTAGGCCCAGTAATGCAATGGAGTTTGGAATTGTAGCCAATGAATGGCAGCAGGCTAACAAAAGTTAACCTACTGTTTCCACGTGATTAGGGTTATCCCTAACGAACCCGACGCATTGCTAGCGAGAAGTGAGTGTTATCTTATCAAGTCTTTTGATTTATAGTTTTAATATTTTTACGTCCTTTGATTTCTAAGTAAAATGATTATGGAAGTGTAATGTTAGATTTAGTTTGTTTTAAAAGATTCATGTTATTGTCTCGCTTTTAAGTTATTGTTATAAGCCAACTATTTCTTTCATGGCTACTTTAAATGTGTAAGAAAACTAGCCAATAAACGTGTTTTTATATTTGTGTGGTTTAATTTTTTGAACTAAATCTTACAAGGCAAGAGGCAGGAGTCTCGGTACCCTAGCTGAGCAAAGTATTATCTGTACAAAAATTTCAAAGAGAATGGGATATAGATTGTCTGCATCGAATAAGCTCCAAAATTATTGATCCGTTATTAAAATACGAACTGTTGGTTAAATACACGTTAAATACTATAAGGGGAAATCAGAGCCAAAGAGAATAATAAGTAAAGAGCTTAGAGCCAAAGAGAATAAGTATAAGGGAACTCAGAGCTGAGATAACATAGATAGGTACATACATAACTGAGATGACCTTCCCTTTGATTATAGTACATACCTAGTATGTATTCATAAAAGGAAATAAATCCAGTATTCTATTGACCAAATCAGTGACTCAAAACAAAGTTTGATACTGATTTACTTGCTATTTTAAAACTAATGATATTTCTGCAAGTATTATTATTAATAAATGTTTATTGATTTACTGACAATAAATTAAAACTAAAATCACTTAAATCAAACCATTAGTTTTTTATTTATTGCTGTTTTTGTAGTTAGATCGGGTTTAATTCACCAAAACCGAAAATGTTGATTATCTTAGAAACTAGCCATTTTCGGACTATGGACCTCAGGGCTAATTTTGTAGGAAATTAGTTGTATTATCACATCCCGAGAGGAATACGTCGAGTTACAAGTCACCCTGTATATTTGCGATAATATTATAATCACAAACTTTTTGATTAATACTTATTTTATTATTATTTTATATAACAATTTGATAGCAATTGACATTATAAAACTTCACATCTATGAACGAAAGTGACATTTCAAAGTTTTAACTCTTCTATAGTTTACAGAAGTTTGTTAATTATTTTCTTCAAAAGTTTTATTTCATTTTAAAGTGAGATGTGGAACCCAAGACAGCTTAGCGGGAGCAGACAGCTGAGCAACCAGTCTAGCCGGTCGAGCCGTACAAGCCAAAATAGTTATGCTAGTGGCAGCTACAGCAGTATCGGCAGTATGGGCAGTTTAGCCAGTAAGATGGGCAGCAAGTTCCGTAGTAAACTTGGCAGCCACTCCAGTCGTAGAGACGTCGAATTCTCGTTCTTTATACGACAGAAAGAGGTTTAGTATTCATTGCTTCTTTGCTGATATGAATGTTGTTTTCTATTACTCAGACAAACATTGGCATCGTTAGTGAAGTACCAACATACCCGGTCACATGCTTCGTTGCTACTATCTTTGTAAGAAACAAATATTTCTGGGATGTCTTTCTTCAAAAGCGTAGCTGTTAAGTTTTCCTTATTAGTTAGTTACTGCTTTGTAGGAAGGTGTTTTTGCCCTATCTAAACTGGCATTATTATTATTATTATTTGTAAATATTTGAAATCACGTATCTCTTAAAACATTTCTTCTTTAGGCTCTATATCCACCTTGGTGGACCCGCGAAGGTCTAGTCGACTGGTTCCGAGACCTGCCTGATGATACATTGTGGAACTGTTACATCTGCGTCTGCGTGCTGGTTGGGGTCGTGTGGACTCTCACGCGGCTCCAGAATATATACCTGAACATCCTCGACGTCATCTATAACATTTCCTACGCCATCCACATCTTTGCTATTGGGTATAAGATCATCGGCGAATCGGAAAATACCGATATCACTTATGGGATTATTCGTTAGTATTAAGAATTGAGGTCACTAATAATAAAACAACATATTTAGATCAAGACTCGCATTATATAATAAATTAACTTGACTTGTGATAATAAAATTCTGAACTAGCTTCGAGTTTGGACTTGAATGTCAATAGGTTCGTCTTTAGTAGATTATGGATATCCAACTTAGACTTTACAGTATGTTTTTCGTTGATTTACTATTACTGTGTATCTTTTCAGTGGGTTTCCTCATCGACTTGGGATCGTTTGCTCATTATGTGAAAGCCTACAGCCCTACTTTCACACTGGCTTGCTATTACGTGCGGTTTCATAGACCTTACAAATACCTTTGTTAGTATTTTTTAGCTTTATGCATTTTTATGATTATATATTATTACTCCATTCGTTACCTACTCGTCGATGAGTGGAAAGCTACTTCTTCTAATGTCGAATATATTTTGTTTAGGGTCATTAAACGACTTTAATTTGAAAGGCAGTGTATTGGGGACAGCTCTGAAGTACTGCTATGTATTCATTGTGCTACGGATCACTTGGGCTTACATATGGACACATGTAGACGGGGTGAGTAGAAATAGAGACATATTTTTCGAACACTACGTCATACCGCGTTAGTTCAATCGCAAAGCCAAGGTTGCATTACGGTTTAAGTCGGCTAATCAACAGCAATTTTTAAACGTTTGAAGAAATTCGCTCTAGGGAGTTCACAGCTAGTACTTGGAGTACTAAGTCTAAAATAATGCAACGGAGGACTTAACGGGTTGCCGGGGTACGGGCTCCAAGGGCAGGAGTAGTTTTTAGTCAGTAAGAGTCTGACACTCCCTTCCGCCTCACCCAGGTGGGAGAAGCAATTCGATGATTTTCCCCTCTTAAAAAAAGTCTAAAATAATAATGGAGTTTATTGAACAAAATCTAATCGTAGGTTAACCTATCAGTGAGCCGCGGAAGTCTTAACGGGTTGCCGGGGCTCCGGCTCGAAGTCATAGGATGATTTTCCCCCCTCAAAAAAAAAAAGGTTAACCTATCAGTATTCACACTCAATGAAAGATGTGTGGTAATGGTTCAATTTTATTATTTAGTCAGGAGGATCTTTATATCCGGAGCAGCATAGAGAACAAGTCCCTCAGACTGCCGCCGCTGAGTTCCTCAAGGCACTCTATCTCATCAACAAAATGTTTATACCTATCGGGTAATTTTGCACATAACTATATAGACCATTAGACCTCTTGTTTCTTGCAGTTTAATTGGTTACAATTACAAGCATAAGAACAACTATTAAGATTTTTAAATTTCTGTAGGTAGGTACTTGCCATAATTTGTATTTGTTTCTGCCCCTTCTATGACTTCCTTGAATTTTCTTCACTATTTTCGTCACGCGACGTTAATTATTAATAATTATTGTCTTCGTCAATCATTATGAATATTGAATTATAATTCTGTTATAATCTTTTTGAAGTACACGGCCCACCTGATGGTAAATGGTTACCTTTCACCGAGTTATTTTTTATGGGATAATCCGGTAAACGAGCAGACGAATCACCTAATGGTAAGCAATCGGCGCGGCATCGCCCATGGACACCTGGAACACCAGAGGCGTTACAAGTGCGTTACCGGCCTTTTGGGATTAGGAATCTGAGGATTGTTGGGGATTCAGGGAATGGGGAAGGAGGGGGTGTAATTGGTCCTCCGGTAACCTCACTCACACGACAAAACACAACGCAAGCGTTGTTTCACGTCAGTCTTCTGCGAGGCCATGGTATCACTCCGGTCGAGCCGGCCTATTCGTGCCGAAGCATAGCTCTCTGACATTTAAAATTTCTATTTCAACTACTATGAAAATGATGTTATTTAGACCTTCAGAATTTCCTGACTCTGATATTGAACGCCTCCTCTGCCTCGCGATCATGTTATCCGGGTGCTTAGTGGTGACTGGTGCTGCTGTGGCATCGTTGTCTCTCGTCATCAGCCTCTACATGAGACCCGAGGAGACCTTCCGATCAAGATACAGGCTCATCATGAAGGATATGGTAAATTACATTATTATTTCAATTCTAACTTCTTTTTCTAATTTACCAGTTTTACTACGTTATGTACACATTACTACATACTTATATTTTCAGAAAGATACCCAAGTGCCGATTGTGCTCCGCGATAAGGTGGAGACATTTTACAGGATGTATTGGCACAAAGCACGCGCTGTCTCACAGACTCGGCTGTTGCCTACCTATCCACCTACTGTACCAGCCACCATTAACGTCGACATATATTTTGAGGCTACACAAAAAGTGAGATCTCTTTCTCTTTAACTTAGGGGTTATACAATTCTGACCTCCCTCTGAGACCACCACGTTGTACAATGAACCACTTGCATCTAACGAATATCCCCTTTCTTACAACTTCATCAGTCAACTGATGGAATTAAAAGATCAGCCCAATTCTCTCCTTCTAAATGAGACTACGAGCTATTGAATATTTTAGGCTCGGATCCTTCGTGACTTAACATACCAGATACTGTCAGAGATCGCGAGGACAATGCAAACCATCCACTACATCCCCGGAGACGCCATCATCAAGCGAGGATCTAAGAAGTGCAAGATTATCTATATCACTTATGGAGATGTTGAAGTACGTCAATTTATACATTTGTTCTTATATTATGATCATTTGTGAGTTACCTCTCGTTAATTCACCAGTTTTTAATGTAGATGCTGACCGCAGAGGACGACACAACACCAATTTTGCGGTTTACTCGAGGGACGGTGCTGACACCGTGTGGTTGTGCTGCTGCAGCAGCGGTGGGTACATCCCACCTAGCTGTCAGGGCTGCCACTTTCTGCACAGCACATGTTCTAACTGCAGCTGACCTTTGGAGGGTCGTCAACAAGCATGCCGTCTCACAAGACCATGCGGGACCCATACTGGCATCCTTCACGGTTAGTATTAGAGACGATAAAATGATGAGATGTGTGGACATTAGACAAAAGAAAATATTGTTATTTTGTTATAGTAACAATGTGTAAGCCATTATACTATTTGACTTTTTAAATTTAACTTTACAGGACCACATTGAAAAAGTGAAACGGCATTATCAGATGAAGATACCTGATAAGTCCATGTAAGTTATACTATTTACAGACAGTTCTGGTTTATTTATTTACCTATTAAAAATGCTACCAGCTTAGCTGGCTAACTTAAACTGCAGCCAAACTTCACAATCGATATTTTCGTTTGTTGCATTAATTGATGTGTAATTGATTTAACTGAGATTAATCTTTGTCAGCCATAAAAGCAGCATCTTACATTTCAACCGCAACCTCATGTCTCTGAAGAAGATGAAGAATGCCAATGGGGAGCCCTTGCTGGCTGGCTCCGATATCTTCCTGGAGATCGCTGGCTGTTATATCATGAGAAATGTAGGTAATTTTTTTAAAGGTTGCATACAGTACCATTCTTAGGAGGGGACTATTTAAAATGGTGGTGGTTTAGGCCCTAGACTAGATTAACAATAATAAATAGATACCTATCATGGCAAATCAATCCAATTCTTAGATACAAATATAGTGTATGACATGCTACAATCCTCAGGGTTAAGCTTTCAATAGTTTTCTGTGTATAACCAAAACATAATAAATAAAACATTATTTTTATTATTATCTTAGCGATCCAGAGCGACTCAGACAGACACATCTGACGTAATATGTCTGCGGCCGATATTCCCCTGCATCCTGCATCCATCATCATCACTCCTGGCTGCATGGCACGGCTTCGTAGCCACTCTCATACTCATCATCTGTATTGTAAGTATAATAATACTCCCGCGGAGTGCTTACGGGTTGCCGGGGCTCCGGCTCGAAGTGCAGGAGTAGGAACAGGGTGGTTTTTAGTCAGTAATAGTCTGACACTCCCTCTCGCCTCACCCGGGCGGGAGAAGTCATTGGATGATTTTCCCCCCTGAAGTATAATAATACTCAAAAGACTACAAAACAGCAGCATATTTTGTGTTTTTTATTGTAAAAATTACCCTCTTTTTCCCACTTAACTAGTTTCATTAGTCTTCATCTCTTTCTCTTATCTCGCTCTCCCTCTATTTGTTAGTTTTTTATGGGATAAACCGGTAAACGAGCTGACGGATCACCTGATAGTTAGCAATCGGCGTCGCCAATGGACAACTGGGCCTTTTGGGGACTAGGAGTTTGAGGTTTGTGGGGAATTCAGGGAATGGGGACATTGGGGAAGGGGGGTAATTGGGCCTCCGGTAAACTCACTCACTCGACGAAACCAACGCAAGCGTTGCTTCACGTCAATTTTCTGTGAGGCCGTGGTATTACTGCGGCCGATCCAACCCATTCGTGCCGAAGCATGGATGTCTCTCTTTGATTGAATGATTTTCTTAACCATAGAGCAATTTAATCTAGATCTATCATTGTACCTCAGTTACAAATTAGGTCTGATTATCAAACTTTCTATCTAATCGTAGACACATCCTTACAACTTGGTGTATAAGAAGACAGTGACTTTGACGTTCCGTTTCTTTGACTATGTCATGACTGCTGTGTTTATTCTGGACCATATCGTGCACCTGTCTACTGGAGCCAATGTTGAGGAAGGTAATGTTCACGTTATAAAAAAATTTCAGCAGCTTCTTGGTTCACATTGCAATCATGACCATGACCTATTCTTTCAGGAGATTACCAGTTTTAAGATCCCTCTTAACATCTGTTAAGATTGGTTAAATATTAGCGTTTGCACCTTAATTCTAATTTACTTTTATCTTACTAGGAGTGCCCATAACATTCGCGCAGACATCCTCACAGCAGATGCGCAGCCACTGGTTTGTGCTGGACGTGGTGGCCACACTCCCTATCTTCGAGTTTGTTGGTGATGGACATTTTGCAGGCATCAATAAGCTCCTCAGGCTGCCAAAGGTATATGGAACTTCTGTATTTTTAAACAGGCCTGTCTCCATTAACAGATGTTTTATTTATGCCAGACTTCTGTATTCTTCCCTGCTTCTATACTAAGTACGTCTTTTAACACATCTAGCTATTCCGTGTGCTCAAGAGCTTGGAGGAGAGCTGTGTGTACCATAGCAACGTGCTCCGATTCCTGTCCTACACACTGCTGCTCCTCATCGCCTGTTACCTCATCGCTTCCATGCAACAGGCCTTCATGTGTTACCAGTAAGATTTTATTTTTTTTCGTCCGACTTTTCGCAAACAGTCTGTTTAGTTGTTAAATTTTTATACGCTTTAGTCTATCATTTATCTTACTGGCTAGGTCTGGTTATTGTTTGGTGACAAACATGACTCATCGGCCCTTCTGGGATCGGAAACCACTCGACGAGGAGACAGTCCAAGAGAGGATTATATTTGGACTGTACTGGTCCATATCGATGATCAATTTTATCTGTAAGTTTATAATTTTTCTTTCATATGTTCATTGTGTGAAGTTTCTATCAAAAACCTAAATCGGTCCCGAGATCTTGATGAATGTATGTTAGATGGTCCAAGAGTAAAGTGAGGACCAAAGTTTTCCTTGTTCAGTCCACAGAGAGACATGGGGCACAGGAAACTGGGAGAACGTCATTTATACCATGGTTATCCTTGAGATTTGCGTCGTTCTACGTATCTTCATGGAGTCCGTGTACTCGGCCACTATAATGGTTACCACTGCCCTGAGGTACGCCTAATGTTGTTTTGTATTGATTCTTTCATCATTCCGTTTATTAATTTTAATTTTTTTATTTATTTATTTATTTAAAATGCTTCATGCACAAAATGTACAAAAAGGTGGACTTAATGCCGCAGGCATTTTCTACCAGTCTGACCTTTGGGTGATGCAGAGAAGAGTAAATGGTAGGTGCAAGAGGCAAGCAGTGTTTTTATTTAACAATGAAAGATAAACTAATATATTACATAGATATACATACATAAATAAATTTAATTATAATGTATACCTACACATGAGTACAATATGCCTACATACATACATATATACATAATATATAAATATATACTTGCTTACTAGTACACAGTGGATAGTTAGCGCGATGATTCAGCCAACCTCTTTAGGAAAAGCTCACGTACTTTCTGCTTAAAAGTTAGTCTTAAAAGTTAGTTTAATGAGATGAGTTTCAATAATCGGTATCGAAATAACTGCTTTGTAGTAATGATGACGATAATTGGAATTTGTCCACACAAACATCAATATAAAACTGTGAACATTCGACCTTAAACTTGAAGAGACAAGGTTGAAAGCTAACAAAAGCATGTTTATTATAAACAGAGAGGCTTACGACTCCCGTATAGCGATAGTGAAGAGTTTCCTGATCAGGAATGAAGTGAACCCTGTACTGAGGAAGCGGTTCATTGAGTATCTGCAGCTGCGGTGGTATACTGATAAGGTATATCTAATTACTATGTTAACTATGTAAGGAGTAAACTTTAAATGTACACAAAATTCGAGTACTGCACAATAGGACAATGAAATCCATTGTAAGAATATTAAGTAATCAGTCGATTATTAACTATTATAAAAATCTCAATAATAACAAGCATAGAGCCTTTTTTTTATGACGGAGGAAAGACTTTAAATGACATCTAGCTTTTTGGGGATAAAGACTAAGGAGAATGGGACCACTTCGAAAGCCAGCTTCCGGAGTGGTTTTAGTGAGGTAAAAAGCCAGCCAGCCTCAGCACCTGTAAGAGGCACCGGGTCCTCTAAAAGAGACCTGCTCGGAGCCTCCAAGTAGCATGGAGCCTACAATTGTCCAAATGTATAATATAGAAATAGATTCTTCCCGTATTACATGCGACATGTGATGTAGGTAAATGCCGACAAATTAGTTTTATAAGATACACTTCACACAGCACACATTCTTTTACCTCTTCGGGATTTAAAAGGTAATGTGCTATGTTTGTAATACCACATTTACCCTTATTTCCAGGCATTCACAATGACGCATAAGAATGCGAATATATTCTACGACTTACCACCACATGTGTACCAAGACATTGTGAGCAGAAACCGTAGCAAGTACATACTCATCATACCTTTCATGAAGGTGAGTTAACCTATAAATAGCATTGTTGGGAAGCTCTTTAAGTCAGAAATAAATGGAACAGAGCATAAGTAAAAATAATCCTTTACCGGTAACCGCCGTGTAGGTCAACAGTGACCTATGTTAGCGGAGGATTTGTCTTCAACAGTTTTCTACCGGTAGTCAAAGGTTTAATATGTTCTTGAAAATTCGTTCGAAAATTATGATGGACTAATTTTAATGTGACCTATCTCATTTAATTTCATTGGGCGAGAACTTTCGTGAGACTTACTTAATTCATTATTATATTTTTCGGCTTACTTACGTAATTATTTGACGACAAACTTGACCAGTATCGTCGAAAGTTGTGATATAAATATCTCATTTAATTTATCATCATCCAAACATGAGAATTATAAAATGACAGTGGCATTGAAGATTGCTGTTCAATTTCCTCCTTTTGTTATATCCAGCTTCTTTCAAAGGAAGACATCAGGGTGATATCGTCTCAGGCCAAGCTGTTCTACACCTCGCCCAACGAGATACTACTCAATACTGGAGAACTCTCCAACGAGATCTACATCATCAAACAAGGGTACTGCGAGGTCAGCCAATTTTGCTAGCACCTTCTTATTTGTTGTTCAAGTCAATATCAAGTTACCAAGTCTTCTTTTTCTGTCTTCTTCTTAATGAGTGGCCGTATGTTCGACTTCATTATGCTTTACAGAATTTTCTAAATATTTAGGTACTATACTTTTAAGAGCAGCGTTTGGAATCATGCTTGGTGTACCATGTAATAGACTATTACATACAATACGTAACACATCTAGTTCAAATGAGCCCAGCTCTGTCTAAGGGGAATAGTGGTGATTCTTTTCTGAATCCAATACGCAGAGCAAATCTTTTCTCAGGTTCTCGATCCTGTTACAAAGGAAAGAGTTGGAACGTTGACTACAAAGAATCACTTTGCTGTTCTGATTTGCTTACTACGTAAGTATAAGCATAAGCATTTATTTTATGAGATAGTGTGGCAAACAAGCACATGGATCACCTTTAAGCAATCGGCGCCACCCTTAGACACCCGAAACAATTAGAGGCGTTTCTGGCCTTTTGGAGGCTATACTTAAAGGTCCTTTTTTTATTTTGTTTTATTTGTTGATGTAGGTCTTCCAGCATATTATACTATAAGAGCCATTACCCACGTGCAAGTACTCTGTTTAACAAGGAAAATTCTTCTGGAGACTGCTCTCGAAAACCGACAAATTAAGAAGGCTCTTGACTATCTTAAGGCTACGAAAGTAAGATTACTTTTTGCATTATCATCGTCCATCATCTTCCTCCTTTGTTAGACACAGGACTGGCGAATAACACTTTACAGAGGTTGTCGTTGTCATCTCTACGCACAAGGACGATCTTTAGATCGTTATATCCAAGATTATAATGCATAATAAACCACTCTAGACAGAGCCCAGTGATTGGTTTTAGCAGAGGATTTTCTTTCAACAGTTTTCTGTCATCAGCAAAAGGTTTAATTCCATTCCCCTATGCTAGGAGTACCACAGTGTGCAGAAGAAGAGACCAGCGTTCATGAAATATGAACCACCAGATCCAACACCGAACATGATGCGGTTCCGGCTGCCAAGGAAACATGAGCCAGACACTGAGTTCCTATACCCTTTCACCAGACTCGGATTCTTGTCTATCTTACGGTAAATATTGGGAAGATAGGTAAATATTTCACTACATTCAAGGTATAAGAAAATTTATGCAAGACTAATAAAAAAAAGCTGATTCAGTCAGACTATAAAATTGAGTTTCCAAATAATGTGCAAAATAAACTTGGTTGCAGTTTATGGCTTTTTAAGAGGAAAATCACCGATTGACTTCTCTCATCTGGGTGAGGCGGGAGGAAGTGTCAGACTCTTACTAGCTAAAAACCATCCCGTTCCTATCCTGCACTTGAAGCCGGAACCCCGCTAAATTTTAACGTTCTCTGCGGCCCTATCTGTGGTGGTCTAATGGCTCTTCGAGGCGTGCGCGGATAGCATCGCCCCGTACGCTTGGGTCTGGTTCTGATTGGGCGGCGGGCTTACAGTTTATGGCATGAATATATACCTACAAGATCGCTAAAAGTATCTTGTTTGAGTCTCATGGATATAATCCATGTCTTCTAATAAGTGGTGGCACCTAAGCAGCAATGAAGTAGGGGCTCCCAAGCAGCAATGAGTGACTTTGCTAATACATATATTTTTAACGTATAATGGAAATAGCTCTTGACTGACTAAGACCTCGTAATACTCATCATCTGTACTTAATTTATAACAAAAATTGTTAAGTATTTCCTGAATCATTTCTCTAAAATGATATGTCTCACAGTTACGTATTTCCTCGGTACACCATCCGTCCTGATGGTAAGTACCTCCTCCGCTACGAGTGGTTCCGTGTGAGCTGCGCCATGCTGTCCGCGCAGCTGTTCCCGCACTACACCTACCTGGTGCTGCAGTGGCCCTGGCTCTATTACGTCACACTTTTCCTCGATATGTCCGCGTATTTCGATATGTAAGTACAGTACGTATTAGGTACTGAAAGGCTACTCAATTTTAAGTTGTACTTAAATATCGGGCCATCTCTGTGTTCCATTTTACAAAGAATTTGAAGTGACGGAACTATATTGAACTGCGATTCAAAATTGAGTAGCGGTTGAGTATTTGGACATTTGTCGTATAAAATATCAGTTAATAAAGTTTTTAGTTTGTTTAGTACAGGAAATCTAAAAGCACGCAAACAAGAATTTTGCAAGTGGATTCCTAAGAGAGTGCAGAGAAAAGTCTAACTCATATTATGAGTTAAATTACTGGCAACATAGACACGTTCATCAGTACTAGATATTTGTCTATAGAGGCCAACGCATGCTGATCGGCTACTTCAATGAGGGAGGGATCCTGGTCTACCATCCATCCAGCACAGCAGCCTACTACTTGAAGGGAGCATTCCTGATGGATGTGGTGGCCTGCCTACCCCTAGAGAACTTAGAATCAGCACGAAAGGACAGTTATGGTAATAGAAGACAAAATATGACGTCATTTTATTAGAAGTGACGTCATCTTATTTTATATACGGAAAGGATCTTGTACATTTTGGTTATCTTTTTCTGGATGCCAGATTACAGACTCCGCGTGACTCCGACGAAGCAGTTCCTGATGCTGAACCGTCTCATCCAGCTGTATAGGATGCCGAGCGCCATGATGGTCCTCAAGGAACACATGTCAAGACAGGATTTGCTATTAGTGTAAGACTACAAGATCAGCCCTTTAATCCTAAAGAAACGACGGTTTACGTAATTAAATGTAACGTCTGCTTGGTTTACTTTCCGCAATTTTTAAAAATCTATTGTATAGTGAGCGAGCCTTTTTTATGGCATAAGCCGGTAAACGAGCAGGCGGATCACCTGATGGTAAGCAATCGGCCTCGCCCATGGACACCTAGAACACCAGAGGCGTGACAATTGCTTTACCGGCCTTTTGGGGATTAGGAGTTTGACAATTGTTGGGAAAGGGGAGGAAGGTAACTGGGCCGACGAGCAGGCACTATTTCTGAATGAACACATTACTTTGCCAGGTTCCAAGCAATACCTCTATTCATGACGATGCTGAACATGATGACTTGCTTAGTAGTCTTCTACTCCGTGAACATATTTTACTCTGTTAATGATGACGGTAGCTATGATTGGCTAATAATGCCGTTCGATGACGACGGAGGATCCTGGCTCAATTTATTTCACGATACCTGTGAGTTCATTTTATCTTTTACAAATATTATTAACATTCCAATCTATATCAATTTTTTTTTTGTTTTCTGCGACTTGAGGGCAAGAATAGGTGCAATAAACGAGTGTACCGACTACCAATGATAATCAGTCAATGATCGCCCACCAGTTACAAATTCCAAGGGATTATCTTTGGTCTCCATTTTGGGACATTTCTCATTAATTGCAAGTTGGCATAACAGTTCGCTTCAACCTGACGGAGACACCATGGAATCTGCACGTGGGGACTTACTTCTGGGTGGTGTACGAGTGCAGCACCACCGGCTATGGAGTGTTTCAACCCAGCAACATCGAGATCATGCAAGTCCTGTTCATTGGGATTGCCTGCAGTAAGTTAACTTTTCTGCATAAAATGCTTTTTAGTATAACAAAATTAAATTGAGAAAACATACAAATGACTTATAAACTTCTTTTCCGTAAATCTCATTGTTCTCGTTCATTTTTATTCCAACCCTAATCATGTAGAGCCTATGTAATCCCGTTCGTGGTATTGATAACTTTTATTGTACATATCTATTCCTTCTTCCCCCCATTTACTCTTTTAACTTTCAGTCACTCACTCTCATTTATTTCTCAGCTCTTAAAAACTTAACATGCATGCATGTATTTCATATTTTCAGGTGCAATGATAATCACGTACTATTCAGTTCAGATCATCAGTATACGTGCAAACGTCAACCAGTCTTTGGCTAGCTTCCAACAAGATATGAAGGACATTAACGAGTACCTGGCTAGAGAAAAGATAACCGGAGACCTGCAAAAGTAACCAGACCATTTCTTTCTACCACCACTACTAAGGTTGACATGCTACAGAGCAAAGTCGACACTACCGGCTGTAGGGACCTTTGTATGCTTAAATAAAAAAACGAAGAAGAAAAGATAGAAAGAACCAAAAATATATTTTTACCGCGAGGGATAATTACCAATGTTATGTTCTACTTTCATTCATCAGGGAGACCCAGCGTTACTACGAGTATAATTGGGAGAAGATGGGTGGTATAGACTATCTAGGTGTACTGAAGCTGTGTGACCAGATCACGCTGCGGACTGATGCTATCTTGCATATCTACGGACCCACTTTTGTAAAGGTAACTTTTCTTGGCAATACATATAAATCAAGAAATGTCATATTATGATGTCCACTTTAATGTGGAAGCAATAACTGTAAGAGTCTTCTGCTGGATTGTAAGGCTTCTCTTAAAAAGAGTTTGTCAAATTATAAAATGTTTTGCAATATGTATGTATCCATGTCCTTGCAGTGCCCAATATTGGTGAACGCAGATATATCTCTACTCCGTATCCTGGGCCGTGCAATTCATAGCGTATACTTCCTCCGCGACATGAAGATCATAGAACACGATGATATGGTTTCTGACATGTACTTCGTGGACTATGGAGGAGTGGAGGTTAGGGTTGTCTCTGGAGAAAACACGCAGATCGTACGACTTCCTAGGGGCAGGTAAGCGGGTTTTATGTAGTTAAATTAGGTAAAATATATGTACATAAGTATCATGAATGGGAATGTGAACACTATTGTCATACATTGGACATAATTCTAAATTCCGTGCTATTTCTAAGAAATTGCAAAAAAAATCCAACTCGAAAGTTTTCCCCTACCGACATTATGATGGATGTTGATGCAGTATCTTTGGCAACTTGGAGACCTTGGAGCCACGACGCAGTCCATACAACGTGGTGGCTACAGGTCGGCTCCATCTGCTGATGATCAAGACCAGTGCATTCGCCACCATAGCCAAGGATTTCCCTGAAGTCAAAGAACTAATGAACAAGTCCAAAACTGGAATTGGAATGGACAACAAGGTCAGTAATTTTATTTGATATAGAGTTTTATTTAATCAGAAATAGCACACCAGTCTTTGATCCTCCGAGAAAGTAAATTTTAAATAGTGTCCTACCCAGGAGTCGATATTAAAATTGGGCTAGGCATCTGCAAGCAATTAATGAACAAGGCAGAAATAAATAGCTTACTAGACGCAAAAGAGCACACAGCTCAGCTAAGCTAATGGTAAGCGATCAACTACATCCTTAAACACCTGTAACACCAGAGGGGTCACGAAACGAGAGCGCTGCCTTTAGGAAGGAGTAGGGCTAAACCTAAATAAAACTATCTGTTGTCAGATGTATATCCTGGGTGGAGAAGCCATAGTGAAGATCAGGCGTACAGCCACGATGGGCAATAGGCCTCTTCGAAACAAGACCAGCATCATCAAGTACATATACTTCCAAGAGAACGCGGTGCAGATCTACCTGATAGCTGTGTGCCTTGGCTGTATCTACTTGGACATGTTCAATGCTGGACATCAGGTATTAAGGAAGTTTCATATTTTTCAGTTGACATTATGAGTTTCTTTGGTTTATATTCGTACAGTTTATATCGGCATTGCCATCGTTTCTATTTTTGACTCGGATTCGTGAGCTATTTCGTTCGTCTTTCCATAACCATTTTGATATGACTAGTCTGACGCACGAATAATAAAAGGCTACTTTAAGTTGTACTTAAATATCGCGCCATCTCTGTTATTTTAGTGACAGACGTAGATAGCCTTAATTTATTTGTTTATTTAATTTTTATAGATCAACAGCAAGTGGATGTTGGTTACACTATATGTATTGGACCTGGCTTTCTTTCTAAAGATATTCACACAGCACTCCTTGCCTTTCCTTGTTCCAAACAAAAATATCAAGAAGATGATGTTGCCTATTAGAAAAATGTTAGTAATATTGAAGAGATTAACAACAATACCCTTCCTTCAGTAGAGTAAATGGCTCAGTTTGCGAAGGCGAACGTGAGTTCGATGAGCTTAATTCGACTGCCTGGTTGGCCGAGTAGTCGCAAGTCCGACTGCCGGGCAAGGGGTCTCGGGTTCGATTCTCGGATCGGGCAAAGTATTATAAGATTAAAAAAAATTTCAGTAGTAGCACAGAGTCAGGAATTGTGCCCGGTATATGGCAATAGGATCACCCTCTATTACATGGGACTCATAACATAAATAGTGAAAAGTGGGTGTTACATTGTACAGTGGCATAATGTACACCTCTGCCTAACCCTTCGGGGATAAAAGGCGTGAGGTTATGTTATGTGAGCTTAATTCGATTTTCATGTTAATTCCAAACAATTTTATCTTGTCATGACATATACATGACATGTGTATATGCGATAATATAACGTTTTCGTGCAGGTATTTCAAGCTGGAATTCAAATACGATTGCATATCAGTACTTCCTATAGAGTTCTTCAGCTTCGCTATCGCTGACAATAGCCTGAAGTGGATGGTGTTCTCCTGGCTACGTCTTAACCGGACCTTTAGGATAGTAAGCTCTTTATTTTAATCGTCTTGAGTTTTTCTGAATATATTGACTAGTATTGAACTGAAATTGAATGGTCAGTAAATTAAAAAAATATTGAATTGAGGCAACTAAAATCTTTGTAGTCTCAATTCTAACTTTAAAATTGTTAAGAACAAACTGATATTATAATTAATACTAGCGACCCGGCCCGGCTTCGGACAGGTGCAATGCTTATATAATTTACATCAGATTAGAAACCTCTAAATTTATCAGTAATTCTCTACTAATATTATGCATGTATTATACATATAAACCTTTCTTAAGAATCACTCTATCTATTATAAAAACCGTATCAAAATCCGTTGCGTGGTTTTAAAGATCGAAGCATACATAGGGACAGACAGACGATAGATAGCGACTTTGTTTTATACTATGTAATGATTTATTCCCACCAAACGGTCTGAACTGAAAACTCATTGGAAGAAGCCTATAGATGTTCAATAGCGGATATGTTGTGGCTGAAGGCCAGCAGCATATTATGATGTCGATTAAAAGGATGTTTCTCATTTTTATATTTTTGTCATTAACACTGCTATTCTCCATCTAGGCAACAGTACACAAATGCATAAAGCGTCGCAAAGAGAGTATCACGGTGAACCTGACGGTGACCACGATAGTGGCGGTGGTGATCTGGTTCACGCTGTTCGTGCACACCACCTCCTGTCTCTGGCACTTCATCGGCATGATGGAGGACTCTGTCCAAGCGAATTCTTCGTGGATGTATATGAGTAAGTCCTCTTCTTTCTCCGGCCCAAATTATTTGAAGTCGGCAAAAATGTCCTCCTTTTCTAGGTACTACATTGTTTCCGAAGTCATTAACTAAACGCAAAGTTTAGCACTTATTGAGGCGTTGCCGAGGCTATGTTGCAATAGGTTTCGGCATTCTTTCCTGAATGGACAGAGTATAATTGGGGTTTTTAATTTCTTAAATTGTCTATATTTATACCGTGATTGTGTATGTAACATAGTGTTTAAGGGTTCTGCCTTATGTATGATATCGAATAAAGTCAATACAATATAGAGCAGATCTCTACGGAATATGAAACGTGTTGGTGTATATTTTTTAACATGTTTATAACTTTCATGAGCTGTTTTAAATTAATTGTTATCGACCAGTAGCGCGGCAGTCGCAGCGTCATGTGTCCTACAATGCTGCTCATGAATATCACCCTCTAGTATGGCTTGAATCTAGTCTAGAAAAACATTATAATCATATTTCCTTTGTTCAGATTCGGGTGAAAGCCACTGCGACAACCACTACATATGTTCCATGTACTTCGTGATCACGACGTTCACACAAAATGGAGTCGGAGATATTATACCTAAGAAGCTATCGGAGGTACGTATTTAACTATATGAACAGATTAGCTGAAGCTATTAAGTAAAGCTTCAGCGAATCTGTGTAAGATCTTCTTTTGTCCTCTAATAAGAATCAATTTCGAGAATATAATCTTTGTTATCTAACCACGCGAATGGCTGGATTAATTTGGCTATTTTTTGCTATCGTGAGAAAGAAATTGTTATGGAAAATATTTTACATATTTAAAAAAAAAACTTTTCAATGTAGGCGGTTAATAAAACAAAATAATGGCATTTTAATGACGTCATTCCAATTAGAAATTAACACACATGCGAAGAAAGGATGGGCTGGTAGTAAAACATAATTATATATAACACTAATTGACTCTGTATTTACGTTGAATCTGTCAAAAAAATTATGACAGATGTTAAATGTAGTAACGTTCATCACCCGGCCACAGATAAATAATAAATACGAAGGAATAGAAATAGGTAAATAAACAAGTCCACTGGCGTTTGGCAGGTTTTCAATTCGAATTCCATTAGAATACCACCGTGAAACTAATTTGTAAGATTTTTGCCTTAATATTTATTGCGATTCTCCCTTGGTTCTCTAGTAAACTGATCGTTTTGTCAAGGTTTAATTTTGTTAATAATCTTACTCTAGTAAATATTGTCTCTTTACTAGCTATATGAGGACATAGTATAAAACAAAGTCACAGTCGCCGTCTGTCTGTCCCTATGTATGCTTAGATCTTTAAAACTACGTAACGGATTTTGTGCGGATTTTTTAGAACATTAATAGACAAATACATGTTAATAAAATGATTAGGTAACCACAGAGTGATTCTTAAGGAAGGATTACGTATATATATACTATAACACATGCATATTGCACGGGCCGAGACAGACAGACGGCGGATAGCGACTTTGTTGTTATACTTTGTACTGATTACTTTATTACTATTTTTTTAGAAAACAAGGGTGATTTATTGTTTAGATTGTTTATACTATTTAATTTTATACTCACCATGTATATTCTACTCAAATAAAAATAAACCTAATCCGTATAAACTACGATCTCTAACCCAAGAATTAATGACCTCTTTTATAAAAGAGAAAAGAGGTCCATTGTCCAGCACTGCTCTCTCACGAGTTGTTAATGTTTCCAGGTGATCTTCGTGTCGATCCTGCAGATCCTGTCGACCATGATATTCATGGTCTACGTCGGAGAGTTCTCCAGCATCATCCAGTACCAGTCCTACCGGTCTTTCAGCTTCTACAGCAAATACTTGGAGTTGCAGGTATAAAGAAATGAATATAAATAAATAGAGGTATTTTTGTACATTTTGTGTAATGTGACTACAACGCTCTTATTGTCTTTTGACTCGTCTGAATCTGTGAGTCTCCTTTGGGTGACGCAGATTACTTACCATCGGGTGATCCTTCCGCTCATTTTTCGGCGTTCCCATATACCTAATAAATTGTAAGTAATTGGGTAGTTTCCTAGGTCAAAAATAAATTAATTTAATTTTTCAGTCCAATTAAATATTGAAAAATAGTTCACTTTCATTCATTGATTTGACGATATACTCAATTTTCGATTTATTCTAGCTTTTTTTTTTATATAAGTGTGCTATTTGACGCGAAAATATGATGACGTCATAAGATGGTATTTCGTACAAAATTCATAGAACACTATCGTTTTTGACGTTTCGATAAAAGTATTGAATTTTACTAGTTGTCAACTACCGTATTGTAAACAGAGTCCAATTACTTTTAACATAACCTCTAATAACATCATAATATGGGGAAAGTTAAGTTCATTACGATTCAAAAGTCAATTCAATTGACAATTTGCCATTGCAACTTCGAAATTCTGATGGTACGGTTGGTGCGGTGGCTGGGCAACAGGCGGCCGCGCAACGTGTCGCGGGTTCGATTCCCCGCACGGAGCAACTCTTTCTGTACTTCACAAATTGTTGTTTCAAGTAATTCGTAAAACATAATATAATACTTTGCCCCATGAATACAAGACCAGTTCCGAAGTAGTCGCCATTCAACCAAGTAAACAGTTTACAGTGTTATTAATATTCTATGGCACCTGCGTATTAAAATTAATTTTATGAGTTACAGTTAAAACATCACATGTCGACGCTGAACTGTAAAATATGAAGGAGTAGTAAATGCAGATGTATTTATGATTATATAATTTAAATGACGAGCTTTATGTGTTGGGCGGTCCGTCTGCTCGGTTCTAGTGAACGATCTTTAAAATGATTTTCAAATAATAGTTTAATTGCTTGTGTGTGGTGTAGAGATGATGAGTTAGTGATGGTGAGGCGACATTATGTAAAGATGAACAATGACAATGTTCTCGTGGTTGCCTGGAGATTAAAATGCCCGCTTCTCATGCAGGAGTATTCGAAACACTCAAAACCTACCAACGGCCAAATCAATGTGACTTTTTCCGAGTTATATGTACTTTCTAAGATAATTTATATAATACACCACTGAAAAACGGTGAAAGAAAACGTCGTGAGGAAACCTCGACTTATAATTTCTAATTATAAGTTTGAAATCTCCAACCCGCAATGAGCAAGCGTGGTGATTAAGGCTCAAAACGTCCTCCGTGTGAGAAGATACTTTGCTCAGCAGTGGCCACTGATGATGTTGGAATGAGAATCAGAATGACTGATAATAATTTGTTGGACACAGATGATATTAAAGGCTACAATGTGGCCTGTGTATGGAAGCCTTTCGCCTTGTATTAATACGTGACTTTTTTTGTAAATAATTGAATTCTGCGTACGCAATTTTGAATAAGGGGTACCTTATTAGGGGTATCTTACCCACCTACTTGAGAGAAAGACAATCAATCACACATGTCCGTTTCCATCAGTCTCCTAAATTTTAAGGCAAGCCTAAGCTAAATTAATTGTGCTACTTAACTGTACAAGTAAGGGATTAGTTTAGGTGCTACGCCACGGTAAGTAGAGGGGTGGTCGGTGAAAACAGCTATTAGTCTCCCTATTTCAAATATATGTTCTTAAAAACTATTTAAAAGAATAAAAAGGTAGATACTATTTATTAAGATGTCAACGTTCAATGCATCGACACGATATTTTGGCAGCGCACTGCACTCGTTGACGTCCGCAGCGAAAAAATAACAACATATCGATGTTTTTAGCTCAGTAAAAGATAAAAATATCGTACAACATACATTTGTATATTAAAACGTTGTTACGTAAGTTCTAAATTATGTGAGCTGGCTGGATAAATAATTGTAATGCTCGATTGATGGACACGAGGACTTTGATTCGAATTTTGAATGTCAGGTTTTAAGATTATAATTTAGCTTGTCAATTTTAAAATAGTCTTGAAAAAAAAGATCATATTTAATAGAATAGAATTTTAAGCAAGAAGGCAAGGGCTTCCTTTTTTTTATGACATAAGCCGGTAAACGAGCAGACGGATCATCTGATGGTAAGCGATCAGCGTCGCCCATGGACACCCGCAACACCAAAGGCGTTACAAGTGCGTTATCGGCATTTTGGGGATTAGGAGTTTGAGGATCGTTGGAGATTCAGGAATTGGGGATATTGGAGAAGGGGAGGGTAATTGGGCCTCCGGTAACCTCACTCACACGACGAAACACAACGCAAGCGTTGCTTCACGTCGGTTTTCTGTGAGGCCGTGGGCCGGTCGAGCCGGCCCATTCGTGCCGAAGCATGGCTCTCCCACACTTGAAAAAAAAATTATGTAATTCCTTGCTTATTTATGTAAGATGG